GATATAAAATCGATATTTTTTTGAAAATAGCCTACTATTATCAAAACCAAAAATGCTTTAAATTGCATTTTAAAACAAACCTAGGTATTATAAATAATAAAGAATGTTAATTTAGATATAGAATCGATATATTTTTGAAAATAGCCTACTATGATCAAAACCAAAAATGCTTTAAATTGCATTTTAAAACATATCTTGGAATTATAAATGATAAAGAATGCTTATATAGATATAAAATCGATATATTTTTGAAAATAGCCTACTATGATCAAAACCAAAAATGCTTTAAATTGCATTTTAAAACATATCTTGGAATTATAAATGATAAAGAATGCTAATTTTGATATAAAATCGATATTTTTTTTGAAAAGAGCCTACTATGATCAAAACCAAAAATGCTTTTAATTGCATTTTAAAACAAAGCTAGGTATTATAAATGATAAAGAATGCTAATATAGATATAAAATCGATATATTTTTGAAAATAGCCTACTATTATCAAAACCAAAAATGCTTTAAATTGCATTTTAAAACAAACCTGGGTATTATAAATGATAAAGAATGTTAATTTAGATATAGAATCGATATTTTTTTGAAAATAGCCTACTATTATCAAAACCAAAAATGCTTTAAATTGCATTTTAAAACAAACCTAGGTATTATAAATGATAAAGAATGTTAATTTAGATATAGAATCGATATATTTTTGAAAATAGCCTACTATGATCAAAACCAAAAATGCTTTAAATTGCATTTTAAAACATATCTAGGTATTCTAAATGATAAAGAATGTTAATTTAAATATAAAATCTAGATTTTTTCAAAAACAGCCTACTATGATCAGAACCAAAACTGCTTTAAATTGCATTTTAAAACATATTTAGGTATTATAAATGATAAAGAATGTTAATTTAAATATAAAATCTAGATTTTTTCAAAAACAGCCTACTATGATCAAAACCAAAACTGCTTCAAATTGAACTTTAAAACATATTTAGGTATTATAAATGATTAAGAATGCTAAAGAATGCTAATTTAGGTATAAAATCTAGATTTTTTTGAAAAAAAACTACTATGATCAAAATCAAAACTGCTTTAAATTGCATTTTAAAACATAGGTATTTTAAATGATAAAGAATGCTAATTTAGATATAAAATCTAGATTTTTTTGAAAATAGCCTACTATGATCAAAACCAAAACTGCTTTAAATTGCATTTTAAAACATATTTAGGTATTATAAATGATAAAGAATGCTAATTTAGATATAAAATCTAGATTTTTTTGAAAAAAAACTTACTATGATCAAAATCAAAACTGCTTTAAATTGCATTTTAAAACATAGGTATTATAAATGATAAAGAATGCTAATTTAGATATAAAATCTAGATTTTTTTGAAAATAGCCTTTTATGATCAAAACCAAAACTGCTTAAAATTGCATTTTAAAACATATCTAGGTATTATAAATGATAAAGAATGCTAATTTAGATATAAAATCTAGATTTTTTTGAAAAAAAAACCTACTATGATCAAAACCAAAACTGCTTTAAATTACATTTTAAAACATAGGTATTATAAATGATAAAGAATGCTAATTTAGATATAAAATCTGGATTTTTTTAAAAACAGCCTACTATGATCAAAACCAAAATTGCTTCAAATTGCATTTTAAAACATATTTAGGTATTATAAATGATAAAGAATGCTAATTTAAATATAAAATCTAGATTTTTTCAAAATCAGCCTACTATGATCAAAAACCGAAATTGCTTATAATTGCATTTTAAAACATATCTAGGTATTATAAATGATAAAGAATGCTAATTTAGATATAAAATCTAGATTTTTTTAAAAACAGCCTACTATGATCAAAACCGAAATTGCTTTTAATTGCATTTTAAAACATATCTAGGTATTATAAATGATAAAGAATGCTAATTTAGATATAAAATCTAGATTTTTTTAAAAACAGCCTACTATGATCAAAACCGAAATTGCTTTTAATTGCATTTTAAAACATATCTAGGTATTATAAATGATAAAGAATGCTAATTTAGATATAAAATCTAGATTTTTTTAAAAACAGCCTGCTATGATCAAAAACCGAAATTGCTTATAATTGCATTTTAAAACATATCTAGGTATTATAAATGATAAAGAATGCTAATTTAGATATAAAATCTAGATTTTTTTAAAAACAGCCTACTATGATCAAAACCGAAATTGCTTTTAATTGCATTTTAAAACATATCTAGGTATTATAAATGATAAAGAATGCTAATTTAGATATAAAATCTAGATTTTTTTAAAAACAGCCTACTATGATCAAAACCGAAATTGCTTTTAATTGCATTTTAAAACATATCTAGGTATTATAAATGATAAAGAATGCTAATTTAGATATAAAATCTAGATTTTTTTAAAAACAGCCTGCTATGATCAAAACCAAAACTGCTTTAAATTGCATTTTAAAACATATCTAGGTATTATAAATGATAAAGAATGCTAATTTAGATATAAAATCTAGATTTTTTTAAAAACAGCCTACTATGATCAAAACCGAAATTGCTTTTAATTGCATTTTAAAACATATCTAGGTATTATAAATGATAAAGAATGCTAATTTAGATATAAAATCTAGATTTTTTTAAAAACAGCCTGCTATGATCAAAACCAAAACTGCTTTAAATTGCATTTTAAAACATATCTAGGTATTATAAATGATAAAGAATGCTAATTTAGATATAAAATCTAGATTTTTTTAAAAACAGCCTACTATGATCAAAACCGAAATTGCTTTTAATTGCATTTTAAAACATATCTAGGTATTATAAATGATAAAGAATGCTAATTTAGATATAAAATCTAGATTTTTTTAAAAACAGCCTACTATGATCAAAACCGAAATTGCTTTTAATTGCATTTTAAAACATATCTAGGTATTATAAATGATAAAGAATGCTAATATAGATTTTTTTAAAAACAGCCTACTATGATCAAAACCAAAACTGCTTTAAATTGCATTTTAAAACATATCTAGGTATTATAAATGATAAAGAATGCTAATTTAGATATAAAATCTAGATTTTTTTAAAAACAGCCTACTATGATCAAAACCGAAATTGCTTTTAATTGCATTTTAAAACATATCTAGGTATTATAAATGATAAAGAATGCTAATATAGATATAAAATCTAGATTTTTTTAAAAACAGCCTACTATGATCAAAACCAAAACTGCTTTAAATTGCTATTTAAAACATATCTAGGTATTATAAATGATAAAGAATGATAATTTAGATATAAAAACGATATTTTTATGAAAATAACCTACTATGATCAAAACCAAAACTGCTTTAAATTGCATTTTAAAACATAAATAGGTATTATAAATGATAAATAATGCTAATTTAGATATAAAATCCATATTTTTTGAAAACAGCCTTCTATGATCAAAACCAAAACTGCTTTAAATTCCATTTTTAAACATATCCAATTATTATAAATGCTAAAGAGTGATAATTTAGATATAAAAACGATATTTTTATGAAAATAACCTACTATGATCAAAACCAAAACTGCTTTAAATTGCATTTTAAAACATAAATAGGTATTATAAATGATTAATAATGCTAATTTAAATATAAAATCTAGATTTTTTTGAAAATAGCCTACTATGATCAAAACCAAAAATGCTTTAAATTGCCGTTTCAAAAGCAATGACCTGGTGAATTTTCAAAGCACGCTGTCACAGAAGGTACAAAAGCTTTCACCAAATATACATCATCAAAATAAATTGCTTTTTATGCTGCATAGAAAATCTCAAATATTTTTTTTCAAGACCGAAAATTATAAATTTAGAAACAAAAAATATTTTTTGTTATCATTGTGATATTTTCAATAATACTTTGTTGCTTTTATTATTTCACCTTAAGCTTATATTTAAAGGAGGACACCCGTTAGATGGCAAAAAATATATTGCGATAGATGGCGTTACTTGAACGTCATGTGGTTCAATATTGTAATCATATTATGAAATTTAATAACAGAAAATTTCACGTGTTCATTTTTTAAGTGAAATCATTTGCAGTCATCAGCTGTTTCGTCGTCCGATTTCAGACTAAAGAAAACGAAGTTTTAGTTAATTTTTTAAAAAAATTACGAGTTGATTAAAAATATCGTATGATTTATACTGATTTACAAACACATATCAATTGTAGCTTGTCATCTTTTATGTGCCATCTGTAAATATTTTGGTAACATTTTTAAATGGTTTCAAAATACTTTAACTTTCTGATTATTCTATTTATTCACACTTATTCTATTGATTTATTTTATTTTCTCTTAAATAAATAAAATCTGCAACATTTACCGTTAAGTTCCTTACCAATCCAATTCTAATGTTTATTTAAATTTTTCTATGCATTTGTCCAGAAACTTGAAGAAAATCTAGTTCAAGGTCATTTATATGCATTTCATTAGAATTTCTTTAATGTATTAGAAATGTTAACACACGCAACCAATATGAGTAAAAGCGATTTTTGAAATATTCTCAGATAATTTATAAATTTAATCATTGTCGCTAAGGTATTAAATAAAAATAAGATGAAGTCTTTCAAAACATAATTAATTATTATTTTGGATCATCCAGATTTTTTTAACAACGTTCACCAATACATTGAAATATTTTTGGCACATGTGCAGTTCATCGAGTGAAAGTTTATGAAAATAGTATAGAGTGATTTTCCGCATTTTCCTATACAATTTTTATTCATAACACGACGATTTCAGTTACACAATAAAGAAATTTTGTTTGTATTTGTAATTACCTGACTTATTTCGTGTAAAGATACTGTAAGAAAAAAGACATATAGAAGTCATATGAAAAAAAGTTTGTACTTCAGTTATAGAATGAACTTGGTAGACGATAGTTCAACTTCCGTGTAAAGAAAATCAGACTTTCAAAAAAAAATCGATTTATAATTGAAATTCCTAAAACTTTTTATTTAATTTATATAAATGTGCTGTGCGATTAAATTTAAATTAAATTAATAAAATTGGGTTGATTAGTTATATGAATTGCTACATCACAGAAAGCATTTTCGTTTTTTTGTGACTTGTCAAAATTTAAATCAAAAATTATTGATTTTTCCAACAAAAAAATTTTAGACTGAAAAATTATTGGAAGTGTTTTTAAAAATGCCAGAGCAAAATATTTTTCAACCAGATTCAAAATTATCTCGATCATCTTACATTTCATCCATCCAGCAATATGAAGAGCTTTACAAATTATCAATTGATCATCCTGAAAAGTTTTGGAATAATGTCGTGAAGCAATTCCACTGGGAGACGCCTCATGCTGATTCAAAAAGTTTCATGTCATATAACTTTGATATATCAAAAGGCCCGATATCTATCAAATGGATGGAAGGAGCATCTACAAACATTTGCTATAACCTATTAGATCGGAACATTAAAAATGGACATGGTGATAAAATTGCATTTTATTGGTATGTCTTGCTTTTTAAAGTTATCAGATCAAAGTTTGGAAACTTTAAATTCCAAACCGTGGGCAGATGAAGGACTAAAACTTTTAACTCTACGTATTGATTTTTTTTCTTCATTTTTTACACGAAAAGCTTTTTCTGCCTACGCTTTAGAATCTTTATGTACTGTAAGAATTTTTGTAATCACTTCATTTCATTTTGATTTTTTTTTCTGCTTATCTGATAAAGTGAAACGGTTATTCATCTTTTTATGTGAATAAACGTACGATTATACGTCAGTAAATCTCATTTACTTGATAAGTCATCTTCTTTCTCAAAAAACATGTTGAGTATGGTCATTACCTTCCGACGTAAATTTGCTTTTGCTGACGTAAAATGAGTCGGGAATTCAAGAACATTAAAGCAAGTTTAGTCTCTCAATGGCAATTTTAATTATATGACGGCGTTTGTTTTTTTCGTACACAAATGAAGAGTAAAGTTCAACGATTTTTTATATTTAAAAAAAGTACTTATTTTACATTTTCGTCATTTTTAATATGTGACGTACATGAAACGATAAAAGTATTAAACTTGTTACGACTTATATGATACAATGATATTCAAAAAAAATCTGGACATGTACATTAATTGAAAGCTATTTAGTCATGAAACTTTGCAAACGAGAAAAATAATATAAAGATTTATTTTTAAATTCAGGGATATATTATCGAAAAGGCCAAATTAATAACTTAACGAATCTTTACATGCGGGCAAATGTATTAAACTAAATAGTTGTTCAAATGGTTTAAAATGACAAATAATATGAAATTATAATTGAAATTTATCAATTTGCTAAGTTTTTGTCCAGTTTTAATGGAAAGTTCTTAGCAAATTCACTGCTGAGTAAATACTGTTGAATATTAAAATTTTAAGAGTTTTTAAAACAGGTAATGTTGTTTGTTGTAAATCAAAGTCCAAGGAATACATAATCCTCATAAAGTACAATTTAAAAATTAATAGTAATCGGCAAACAAAATTTACACGTGAAAGGAGCAACATTTGATTTTTAATGCACAATAGCTCAGTTGAGTCACGAAAACAAACTCGATTATATTCCATTGCTGCTGATTAAGCCATATCTATCATCGATAAAAAATGTGTCAATTGCGAATTAATATTTTATCTATAAAAGACAATGGAAATGCTAGTATCGTGATCATAATCAGTATTTTCCCGTTTTGTCAGGTGCTTTGCATCGCAAGAGTTGTGAAATACTTAGTAAGGAAGATTAATCAATGAACTCAAATTGTATGACCTTGAATTTAAAATTGACACATGATATTTTTAATTAAACAGGAATTAATATGAAATGAAACTTAGTCTCGTATATATATATAATTGATATTTGTTTTTGCAATAACAGTCTGCTAGTCTATAAAACAAAATTTATGTGTCTCTATATGTCTATATTTAATACTTATGAGCTATGGAAAGTTTCAAATGATTAATAATCGTGTAAAGACATTTTCTGATAATTAAAGTCAAACAATAAATTTGCTCTTCGAAAGTAGAATAATCTCAAACTTTATAGCCCAATGCATTAACAAACCTCACATTATTTTTCAATGTCAATCATGACAATTTTTTTTTAAACATTTAAGATAGAAGTAAAAGTGTTGAGAAAAATTTAAAAAATATTTGATTTTACTCAACATGTTTTTAATTTTTAATAAGAGCAAGTTGTTCGATTAGATATATTTGATCGAATGATAAGATGACAAATCGAACATTTTAATGAGATTTAAAGTATTACTCTAATGATTTGAAATTAAATAAAAAAAAATATATTTAAAATAAAATAATAATTTTTTTTTATCAAAACATTAGGGAAGGAAACCACCCAGAAGATTATACAAGATTTACTTACCGAAAACTTCTTGAGGAAGTATGTCGATTTGCAAACGTGCTCAAAATGCACGGAGTCAACAAAGGTGATCGAGTTGCTATTTACATGCCAATGATTATGGAGACACCAATAGCAATGCTTGCATGCTCAAGAATTGGTGCAATTCATTCAATTGTCGTAAGTCTATTTCATAGTTCATGTATTCATTTTCAAATGGTGAACATTCTATTAATTTGTATACGACAAAAAGCACAGAATCTATTTCATATTCTGCTTTGAATCAATTTGACCTATATAAGATATATAATAAAATTCAATCATATAGCAACATTTAGTGAATACGTTCTAAAAGCTCCCTTCACCTGACTTTATTTTAGAATTCAACAGGTGTTCATTTTCAAATAATATTACATAAATTTAAAATTCATGACCTGTCTTTGTTCAAATAAAATACAAACTTTTTATTTGAAGCTCGTAATTGTTCTTTTAAGCATTCCTTTTGATTGTAACTTTTTGTATGGATTTTGGCTAAAGATGAAAACAATATCTTTAATGAGCGATTCCTTTATAAGTCTGATATTGTATAATGTGCTCAATACAGAAGTTATAAAAAATTTCATCCTTATTTTAGTTTGCTGGATTTTCATCCGATTCGTTGGCTGAACGAATGAAAGATTGCAAGGCTAAAGTATTAATAACATCTGACGGAGCTTGGAGAGGAGAAAAGTTGTTACATTTAAAACAAATTTGTGATCATGCATTGGAAAAGGCTCAAGAGTTGGGACATCATGTTGAAACCTGCATTGTTGTAAAGCACATTCATCGTGTAACAGCTCCAAAACCAGAACTCATTGAAGATTTTTCAGTTGAAATGAGAGACGATCGTGATTTCTGGTGGAATGATGAAATGGAAGAAGCTGAACCAAGTTGCTACCCTGAATGGACGAGTGCTGAAGATCCACTTTTTATGCTTTACACTAGTGGTTCAACTGGCAAACCAAAAGGTGTTTTACATACAACTGGAGGATATTTGCTTTATTCTAGTACAACATTTAAGCTTGTTTTTGACTACAAGCCTGGTGATGTTTACTGGTGCACTGCTGATATTGGATGGATTACTGGACATACCTACGTTGTTTATGGACCATTAGCAAATGCAGCAACTTCTGTTATGGTACAAAATATTTCGTCATTAATCTCTTGATTTTATCTAATCCTTGTATTGTAAATTTTAGTTTGAAGGAACCCCATTTTATCCTGACAATGATAGATTTTGGCAAGTTATCGACAAGTATAAGGTTACACAGTTTTATACTGCACCAACAGCAATTCGATCACTTATGACATTTGGAGATGAGCCCGCATTAAAACACAACTTAGATTCTTTAAAGTAAAAAAAAATATATATATATATTTTTTATAACTTATTGTTTTTAAACATCTTGTTAATTACATACAGAATCCTTGGCAGTGTTGGTGAACCTATTAATCCGGAAGCGTGGTTATGGTATTATAAAATAATTGGAAAAGAAAAATGCTCAATTGTCGATACATTCTGGCAAACAGAAACTGGAGGTAAATAACATTTTTCGTTTGTATCTATTTTATTTTTATTTTAAAAAAAATCTATTTTAGGGCATGTTATAACACCATTGCCTGGGTGTACACCAATGAAACCGGGATCAGCATCATTCCCATTCTTTGGAGTGAAACCTATGCTTTTAGATGAAGGTGGAAAAGAAATTCAAGGAGAAGGAGAAGGATACTTGGTGTTTTCCCAGCCATGGCCAGGAATGATGAGAACTGTATACAATGACCATAAAAGATTCGAACAAACATATTTTTCAAAGTTTCCAGGATATTATTGTACGGGTGATGGAGCAAAACGTGATAAAGATGGATATTTATGGATTACTGGAAGGATTGACGACATGTTGAATGTTTCTGGTCATTTAATGTCAACAGCTGAAGTAGAAGCTGTGTTAACTGAACATTCCCGAGTTTCTGAAGCCGCTGTCGTTTCTCGTCCACATCCTGTCAAAGGGGAATGTCTATATTGCTTTATTACTCCAAATCAAAATGAACCATTTGATAAGCAGCTCATTGATGAGCTTAAAGTACTTGTTCGAGAAAGAATTGGACCTTTCGCTCAGCCAGATGCTATTCAACATGCACCAGGTTTGCCAAAAACACGATCGGGTAAAATAATGCGTAGAATTTTAAGAAAAGTGGCTGTTAATGACCGCGATGTAGGCGATATATCGACACTCGCTGATGAAAATATTGTGGAAATTTTGTTCAACAATCGACCATCGAAATAAAGTAAATGCACAAAAAACCTAATTAATCATTTAGCTATATAACAGCATACAATACGCTGTTTCAAATATTGCCTAATACCACAAGTTGATTAATCGAATAGAAATGCGGCGCCAAGCTGGCATGACTCTGGTATGGTGCTGGCTTCGATTTGAATCCAGTATCATGCAAGAGTCACACAGGCTTGGTGCATGGTTTCTGATCGATTTACCGAATTGTGCCATTCGGGATATTCTTTATTGAAAATATTAACACAATTAATATTAAATTAGTTTCTAAAATCCACATTGTTTGAGAAAAAAAGGATAGACTTTCCTAGGGACATAAGGAAATTATAAATCTCATATTCTTATTTTTGATATATGCTTTTTTTTATAGATTTAAAGTTCAGTTGACTATCATTTTAAATTGTTCATTTATTTCTTTGGGAATTTAATCATGCCTCGTTTGTTTTAAAAACTTTAGCTAAAATATGTTGGTAAACTATGAAATCTATAATATACTTAAAAGATGGATGATATCACTCTCAATCAGCATAAATACTTAGATTAAGATTTCAAAAAATTTATTTTTTATCATTTTTACTTTTTTACCACGTTTTTAATAATTTAAAAGCTTTGAGTTAAAACATTAAATTTAACAGTAGCAATAAGGAAATATATAATATGTTATGCTTAAAGCAATATAAGAATATTTTAAAATATTTGAGAACAGACGAAAGATTCGTTCTAATTAACATTATGAAACATGTATTTTCATCTTCAAAAAGTTTTATATTAGAATTAAAAATTTGTCAACTTCAACTTAAGGCACATAGAATATTTAAATTCCTTAAGCACAAACACCAACTCCTAATATATATATATTAAAAAAAATTTAATTTTAAAAATATTTTGAAAAATAAAATAAAAGGAAAATGGATCTTGCGTATATACGTAACTTTATTCGTGATCGATCCTGTAAGTCCTTTAAATATAATACAATAATTTTGGACATTAAATATACTTTTAATACAATGGCAATAATCCATAAATAGAAATAGATCAACTACCGATGAAAGGATTTAATTAAACTTGATTCTATAGTCGGAGCTCATCAAATCTCTTATTTGTGATTGATTACTCAAAAATTGTCTTTTGTTTTGTAAACTATGTTCTACAACATTTTGACAAGGTTGACGAATATTTAATTACTAAGTCTAAAATTTTGAAGGTGCATTTTACAATTAGTGAAGAATAAATAATATACGGCTTAATATATTGACTGCTAAAAATGATACATTATGCATTGAATATACACAGAGGAAAATATGGTTTTAGAAAATTTATTATAATATCTTCTAATTGTTGTTGATTAAGTGTCAATATACATATCTTAATGTTTGGACTTCTTAATGTTTTTCGGAAGTTCAATTACTTTCAGTAAAAAATTTATTAGCAGCAATGAGATTGATAAGATGTACATCACAACAGATAAAATGAATGGAAAGCGAAACATGAAGGTAACATTTTAACATGACCATGGATTTTAATTCCTTACATTAATGCGCCCTTAATTCATACATATCATTCTATATTCTTCTGTAGAATTTTTTACAGAGAATAGAACTTTATAGACATCTTGAAGTTCGAATATATTTTTAAAATTAAGAATATTATATTATTATATTGTTCCTAAAGAAATCTCCTTTGCTGATTAAAGAAATTCCAGAAAAAGACGGAAAACTTCCTGTGAAAAGAAATATTGAATCAAAAACAGTACTGATAAAGTAAAACATATGAGATGAATGGTATAAAATATTGTAACTCATAAATGTTTTAATCTATGTTAAAACTGAAAATTTTAAAAAATTGTTAATAAATCAAGAAATTAACTGAATTGGCAATATATAGAAAATATATTTCATTAAAATGAATGAATAAATGTTAAAAATTCATTTAAAATACGTAATTTCTTGTTTTATTCTAACGCGGTGGAACATATCTATATGATTGTGCTGATCATTTCCCTGGTTACACACCTTGTAGATATCTCGAATCTCCTCCTTACAATTACATTTTATTTTAATTTCTACTCCTGGACTTCCCTTTATTATTCACAACATGATAGTAATCATTCAAATTTGAAATACAGTTTTATTTATTTATAAGAAGCGGCTGGTCCCTAATGTAGTTCGATATAACACCCATCAAAAAAGACTGGAAAAGTAAAATATTTTCAATAATTTTATAAATTTATAAAATTCATAACCACTTGTTAATGTTTATATACATGACAACCGTAAAATAGAAACAAAATTCTTATGGCAACGAATTTCCATGGCAACAAATGCATAAATTAACAACAAACAAACATAAAAAATAAATTGCATTATTTTTTTAAAAAAAAATTTGGATTCATCATGTCAAATGAAATTAAAATTAAACAAAAGGAAAAGCAGAAATCAAAAAACACCAAGAAAAAGCAACAACAAATTAGTAAGAAACAAGAGACGAAAAAGATTCGTAAAATAAGTGAAAAGTATTTGAAGGAAGATATTCAAATTGAAAATATATTGAAAGTTAAAAATCTCAATGACGATGATGAGTATGCTCGAAATAAACAAGATGAAATTGACTTTTTTTGTGATCCATTTTCATCGATTCCTTTGTATGTAGAGAAGTTACATAAGGATGAAAAGGTTGATGATGAGAATGAGACTGAAAAGGAAGACGAGGAAATTTCTCATGAATCAGATGAGCAACATTCAAATAATTCCTCACCAAACACACATATGGCTTCAACTTATATTGGACAGGATTGTGAAACAGTTGTTGAAAAATTCGAATTAAAAAGAATTTCATTTGATGAATTTGAGTTACTTTTTTATCCTAAGCCCAAGTCAATTTCCTTAGATAAAGCTAATGATGAAGAAAAAAATATATCCTGTGCTGAAGAAGATGAAGATGGAATTTTCTCAAACGATCCACCAAAAATTAAACGGAATTCTAATATGCTCTTATTACTAGATCGACTAAACGAAAGCAATGCAACAGAATTATTTAATAGAAAAGGTGAACTAAAGAGCTTTGAAAAAATAATAGATGATGATATTTATCGATTGCGATGTGACAGAATATTCACACCAATTTATGTTCCACCAACACAGATGACTTTTGAACCAATTGAAAAAGTCATTACTGAGAAAAAGTTTTTAAAAATCTTTATAACAAACTTAATATTTGAGCAACATAAAAAATTCACAAATGAGCACTTTGCTGAGAAAATTGTCGAGAAAATTTTTAGTGAATATGAAAGACGACAAAAATTCAATGTTGTTGGAACTTTGAGAACAAAATTAAAAAAACTTCGAGAAGCGAAAGAAGAAAGTTTAAACAGATCAAAAGTTGATGAAGTTTCAATCATCCAGCAGATTAATGTTGTTCGAAACAAGCTACATGCTGAAGAGCTTTATGACCAGAAAATTCTTAAAAGTCTTTTAGAAAATTGGAAGCACCTGAAAGATATTCGAGCACAACAAAAATACGCACTTACCAATACAATAATTAAAATTCATAAAAAGGATGTTGATATTGAAGTTTTACAAACAGAACGACAACAGCAATATGACACGGAACTGAATGAAATGATTAATGAAGAATTTGAAAAATATTACATAGTAAAAAAAAGATACAAAGAGCAAATTAAAAACATTAGTCAACCTGATAAAATAATAGATTCAAAAGAAATTGTACAAAAACCTAAAAAGCCAGACATTGATAAGATTGTGAGTCAATTAAATGAAATCTATGATGAAATTTCAACAAACAATCCGAAACTTGAAATCATATTAATACATAACGATCAAGACAAGTCTAAAGAGAAAATTAAGAAGCTTAGTAAAGTTTCTTATAGCATTGAATTAGAAGTTGACGGTGAAGTTGTTGGAAGCACAAAAAGCTTTAAATTAAATGAACGTTTCTCAATTGCAATACAATCTGCATTTGTACTAAAGCTCACAAAACATATACCAGAGAAATTAAAACTGATTGTGAGTTCCTTTGACTGGAAATATTTTTTATTGAAAAAACTTGTTTAAAATTTTATACTTTTAGATTATGGAGACGAAATCTTCAATAAGAAAAGTAACAGAAATTCATCTTCCGTTACCCGAAGATGACGAGAATTTCAATGAAATGGAAGTGATATATTTCACATTTTCATCAAAGCAATTACAAAGAAGAAACTCAAATGTGAGATTTTCATCGTTTCGCAGAAATAGCAGCAGAAGATTAATAAGCACATCCGGAAACATGGGTGTTAAATTTGGATGGATAAATAAGGACGAAGAGGTTCAAAGAGACTGCGTCAACGATATGATAATGCCAAAAAAGGTAGAGCATCATTGTGATTCAATTTCTCAAGATGTGCTGCATAGATGGTTTGATCAGAAACTATTAAATCCATTAGATCCTGATGCACAGAAATTAGTTCACTATATTGTTGATAATAAAAACGAAGAAGCTCAAACTAACGTATCAAAAGGCACCTCAACAATACCAGAAAATGATCTTTTTCGTATTAATGAAGAAGAATTGGCATTTATAAGCGAGGATGAATTTAATTCCATTGAAAGATTCAATATTTTAAAAGCAAGATACCAAAATGTCTTGAATTATAAAAACAAAAAGCTAATTCCACAATTAGAAAGAGAACTTGAATTTGATAAGGACAAAGATACAAATATAATTGATGAATCTTTAATTGCTGATCCAATTGACCTACAAAGATTTCGTGGTAGAAAGTATTTACGCAAAGTTTACGAAATTATAACGAATCATTGTGAAAATCTAAATCGAGATAAAATGAACACAAATATCTTGATTGGTGATGAATTTCCAACATTTTCATCATTATCGCTAGCCTTTTTTGAAATGTTTGGTCCCAAACGTCCTCTCAAGCCGACACGCCGTGTCACATCATCACGTGCATCTTGCAAATTAAATGAAGTTACAAATTTCAATATTGTAGTAACCGTTGTACGTGCAACAAATGTTCCTATTCGTTGCGAGGAAACACAAACTTCCTCTCGAAAAAGCAGCACTTTATCAAATCAGGCAACAAGCAAATTCACTCCATTTAAGAATTCTAGCGTACACCCTCACGTTTTCGTTGCTTTATCGTTGAAAGATCATCATCACACGTGTCGAACATCATCATCTGAAGGAACGAATCCAATGTGGAACGAACAGTTATCACTTCCATTAAGTATTGATTCTAATGATGCAAAAAGAAGTCTTTCAATAGATTTATATGATGAAGTTATTGAAGATCTAACAGATAATGTTGCTGAAGTATATCAAAGAATTACTAGCAAGTGGTTAGGCACGTTGAAAATACCCATTATAAATATTTGTACAAATCAAAGGATTGAAGGAACTTTCGAAATTTCAATTCCATCCGTACTGGTTGGCTATACAAAACCCAAATTTTCACCTGCAGATCATCAAACTCCAATTGTAATCGAAAGCTTACCTGATTTATCAAAGAAAACACATATTAGTTTATTTATAAGCCTCGAACCGTCAGTGGAAATACCACAATTAATATCTTCAGGTCTTGAATGCATTGAAGTTATTCACGTTGAACAGCACATTAAAATGTGGTTTGAGCAGCTTAAACTTGAATTTCCATTAAGAACTAAAAAATGGAGTCCACTTGTAACACTTTTAAGCGGAAAGCGAGCATGTATAACTCGCTTACTTCATCCTTTACCATTTCCCTTTGAAAAAAATGATTCAACTGAACAAATGATTAGAAGATTCGTATCATTGATTCCAACACAACATGATGCTAGTACAACTCATAGCAGCTGCACGAGTTTAAATGGTGTTTGGCTTTCAAATTATGTAAGTATTAAGCTGTTATCATTATTTATTTTATAAAAGGAGTTTAAAAAATTCTAAAATTTTCAGCACATTCTTGGATTGATGACATCGTCAAACAAAGACCTTGGCGTATTATTAGCCTGTTTTTATTTAGAACTAGGATATCCTGCATGGCTCATTCTTGGATCTAGTACTACTTGCGGTGAAAGTTGCTTTGTTTTAATCCGGGAAACAAATGAGTTTTTTATTATAGATCCATCAAGTGGTCGGAAATATAATAGTAAAGACATTTACTGTCCCCTTATAAAATGCTACTGTCTCGTGAATCAATATAATGTCTGGGCCAATATTCAGAGGGAGCAACGTGTATTTATGACACAATTTGATATAAATAAAAGCTTTGATTGGAGACCGTTATTTCAGAAGGTTGTAGACATTCCAAATGGAACTATTCATGATGGCAACTTTCACTATGAAAGATCGTTTGAAACGAAAGATTTACAAAGAACAATTCACGGAAAAATTATTAAAAAGATTAATTCATGGAGGTCACATCGAAAAACTGTATGGAATAGGTATGAAAAATTAGCTCATTTTATATCTGTAATTTTATGATTTTTATAACGTTTCAAAACATTTAAGGTATGTAAGTGAAAATTTAAAACCGATTTTGATTAGATTGGAAAACGATATCTGTTTAGAAAATGATTTAGAAGATCATTCAGAGATACTTAAAACACTTTTTGCTAATCATAAGGTAAGTTTTTCATATCAGACATGAAAAGAATAATTTTTTTATATATAATATATATTAAATTTTTATGTAGGTTATTGGATTTACAATTAATTCAAAGTACTCAAACCTGTCTTCGATTGTAACTGAAATAAAAAATACCGGCATACATTTAAATCTTGATAACAAAGTTGAATTTGCATTAAATGTATACGTGAGAGAGTACGCAAATAATGTTTTATCCGTATGGATATTTTTGATGTCTCTTATACCAAAAACGTGAATTAAAAGCTGCTGAATAAAATAAATTTTGTTCCTTGATTTTCAATTGGTTTTAAAATTAGATTTAAGAATAAATTGAATGTTTTAAAATAAACTTAAATCATGCTGCACAAATAGATTTGCATAAGAATTAAGATGCGCATAAAAGATAATAAAATAAAAAAAAATTTATTCGAAATTGAATTTAAATTATTTTTACGGGTTTGACAATAAAAAAGCTTTAATTTCGTTTTCTTAAACTTAATTAACTTGACGCATATTTAAATGATTATTTACAGTTTTAATTTATATAAAATATATAATTAATGATTTGAATATAAGTAGAAATAAATTAAATAGAATTTCAATAAAATAAATTTATATTTTTCAGATTTCATAGCACAATTAAATAAAATTTAAAAATTAATTGTTTTTACTTAGCACTGAGTCCTTTATTACTGCTTAAAATTTTAAAATAATATCAGTTTATTTTAAATTCATTAGCATTCATTGAAGCTTTTATTAGATTGTCACTATTTATTAGATATTTCTATTTTAATATATCTTTATTATATATCTAGATTATTATTATCATCGATTTATATAATAGCTTTATGCATTCATATTCATAGATTTTATTTGATTTTATACACGATGAACTTATACTGATTATAATCTGTGATTTTTTTTTAAATTGTCATAATATAAGAGCACGTAAAAGTTCAATAAAATAAAACTAAAATAAGGAAGAGGCTTAAGAAAGCAATATATCATATAAAAGGGTATCTGCAGGTTATAATATATATGTTTGAGTTCAGATCTTTAATATTTCACAATAAAATATTTGCCAGAATGAAATGATACAATTAAGGATATTCTCCTGAGCTACATTTTCAAACTGATATAATGATTAATAAGTAAAGATGTTGAATATTGAGAAAATTTCATACAACTTTAAAAAAAATCATAACTTTAAACTGTAAGAATTTATAGGAATGAAATAAGCAAAAGGTCTAATTTAAAATAGCACGACTACAGTAAATATGTATTTAATAACAAATAAGTGACAGTTATGGCAGGTAAAATGAAAAAAAAAATTAATTTTCATTGCAAAAATAAAGTTTTTTGCATGGCAAATTTGAACTAAGATAAAAAAAACTTAAAAGAAAATATTTTTTGACACAACATAAATTGCAAGCTGTTGGATCACTAGAAGATTAATATTTTACACTTTAAGCTCATTATTACCAAATGCAGATAATATTTAAGGTTGATATTTAAGTTCAGTATTGTAAGAGTAACACTAAGCATAGAACCATTTTACAATTATTTCCTTTAATTAGAATTGCTCGAATATTTAATGACAAAGCTTTGGTTAATATTTATAAATCGTACTGATTTCTTGCAGTTTAATTAATTGTAAAATGATTATCTGTTATTCTTCTCATAATTTATGCTAGGATGTCGTTGCTGTATGAAACGGATGTACAAATAATCAAACATTTCATTTAAAATTCTCTAATAGAATACAGAATCTCCTAATATTGATCGCCGGTTGTTAGCTCTAGTTCGTTTAGTTGTTGAGCGTGAGCTGAGATTTGTTGATGCTTGCTGTTGCTCATACCAAGTTTTTCTTTTTCCATATCTGTCAATTTATTTGTTAATTTTTTTCCATCAATAGTATTTTTAAGAACTTACTTATTTTGTCGTTTTTTTGGTTGATTTTCTGACGTATCATTTTCTACCAAATGGACACTTCCTATTGACCCATATTAAAAAAATTTATCATAAATCAATAGGAATATATTGAACTTTTTATATATTACCATATCTTCTTTTTGACCCCTTGTGAGGAATAGAATTAACATTATTGACAACTTCTTCATTATCTTGAGTATTGCTATTAATTTGTTGATGATGTCTTCTTTGCAGTAAACAGGTTTTTCCTTTACATCCTTTCATGTGTTCAAGTGTATCATGTAGAAATGACTTTTCTTGTACTGTTAAAGATGATTGCATATTTTGTGTCTCAAATGGATCTGTAATTGACAACATGTTTGTTTAGATAACTTGCAGCATGAAATAAATTATCAAATGCAATTTACCCTTTTTGAGATTATAGAAAGTTATTAGACCTGTTGTAAATTCACAATATAAATAGTTATGTGTCTGATTAATTGTTCTCAGACAAGAGTAAGTATTGTTGATTGCATTCATACAGAAACAGAATGGTTCGTCATCCCAAAATGGAGCAGTTTTCCAATGCTGTGAATCATGACTAAAGCAATTCATTTTTTCAGCAAAACACTCTTTCTCTATTCTAGCCTTCTTGTTGCGTTTTCGTTCTTTTTTACGTTGTCTCTCTTCTTTCAGTTTCTTGCGCGCATCACGAGCAATTTCTTTTTCTAGCAATGGTGAGCTGTACAAGAATAAATTTTCATTAGATTTCTTCTTCTTTAAATTAAAGTTTATTACTTTTAACCTTTCAACTTCAGGCTCACAATAACATTCAGCTGGTAAACTGCTCTTGGTTGAATTATTTTCACTTTCACTTGAAGTTATATTCACAACATGATTGACACTATTTGCAAAAATATGTTGTTGACGATTGGAATGTTTTTTTGAGGACTTGGATCCTTGAATGTCGAAAGGGTTTAAATTTGTTGAGGATTCCATCATTTGTGATGTTGTTGAAGTAATATTTTCATAAGACAGTTCACTTGTTAAGACTTCATCATAATTAATAGATAAAGTACTTGAAAGTGAATTTTCTGTTGGTGTGAATGGCAATGCTGTTGTTAATAAAGTAGATGTTGCTGATGAGGTTTTAAAAAATCTAGTTCTGTTTCGAGGCTTATGAGTTGATGACACTCTAGTTGTTTCTAAAGTACTTGACATCTCTTCAGGTAAAGATTCTTGTGTCACAGATATATTGAAAGATGCATCATATTCAGAAGTTATACTTATACTTGTTGTTGCTTCATCAACTGTTGTAAATACAGAAATTGTAGAAGTTTTTTGTTTTCTACGCCTTTCATTTAAATTACTTTGTTGATGACGATGTTGATGTAATGGTGCCTTTGCTGTTGATTGCGTTTCAATATTTTCATCAAAATCTTCAGTTGATGTATTAAAGTTATCGTAAACTTCATCATCAACAGATGTCATATTGGCTGGTCGATTTTCTTTCAAATGTTTTCGAATATCTTTTAAATTTCCAATTTTGTCCTTTAAAACTTTAATCAGCATATCAATTTGTAACCTACTTTGACGCCAAGCTTCTTCATTTTCATACACAATGGTAGAACAGTTAACTTTTCCAGATGTTTCAACGAAACACTGTACCGGATTTTTTGTACTATTACTTAAATATTTTCTTTCTAATGACACTAAAACTGAATGAAGTTCGTCTATAGTTTGAGTTATGTAATCTGCATCACGCTTCTTTCTCGAATGCTTCTCATGATAATTATTCTCAAATTCATCCATTAATTTGTTCTCAAGGTTGTCAAGAACTTCATCCATACGTAAAAGACTCAAGAATTCTGGAGGTAATTTTGGATTGTAATTTTCATCAATCTCAACATTTCTTTTAGATCTAATCTTGTGATTACGTTTTTGTTTTTGGTGGAAAAGATCTCTTTCTGCTTTGATTTTTGTATAAACAACACCGTTTGGTGTAAAGCATGCACAATTTCGACGAGCTTGCTGTGCTGTTAGATATTTACTAATTTCTTGGAGGTGATCTTGAACTTCTTTATGAAATTTACACTTGTGTTTTCGCCATCTTCCTTCCTCATTAATACATTTCCACTTTTGTCCTACCACACAATTCTGAAGCAATGTAGGATCTGAACATTCTACATTTAAACGTGCAATTTTCGATTGATATGGTGGCAAGTCATTGTCAAAATATGTTCGTTGTAGGTCAAGATGAGTAAGAGCTATAAGAATTAAATAAATATTTTCATGTAATAAAAATGTATTTAAAAAGCTACCTTCACGTTGCCTTTTCCTTCTGCTTTTGTGTGGCTCATCACTTTGAAGTTCAGTATCAAAATCACTTTCATCTACTGTATCATCTAATTCTTCATCGTCATATTCTTCGATGTCTTCCTCAACTTCATGAGAACTTAAATCATGTTCTCTACTTTTTAATTCTTCAAAAGTACGATTTTCCTTCATTAATGTTAATTCCATTTTATTATTGGTTTCGCTTAACATTTGACTGTATTTTGCAGCAGCTGCTCTGGCACGCTGTTCTGCAATTTGCTCAGGTGTTTCACGTCGTCCAGAACTCTCAATAAGGAATGTATCCGGCCATTTATATTTTATTGATCGATGTCGATTAATTATTAATGGCAATATTGATTTACCATCCATATGAGGAGGTACTTGTACGCCTGCAATATCCAAAAATGTTGGAGCCAAATCTATATTTTGAACAATTTCTTCAACCCTGGTTAAAATTAACAATAGTTTTGAATTATTACTCAAAAAAGGAAATAGAAGCTTGATATGACTTACAAGCTTCCTGCGACAATTCCAGGACCACGCAATAAAAATGGTACTCGAACATCAAATTCAAATGGAAAACCTTTGCCTTTTACTAAGCCAAATTGGCCCAAGTGATAACCATGATCGGAAGTGTAGAAGATGTAAGTATTATCTAGTTCTCCAAGCTGTTTCAATTCTTGATAAACTCTTTCGACTGCAACATCCACGCTTTGTAGTGTTTGTAATCGCTTAGTCATTAAAATGTCAGTGAATTTCTTATGAATCGGTTCCATTTTATTAGTCACTCGCAATATCCATTGTTTATCATCGTTTGGTGCTAAATTATATGATGGAGTGCTGAAAAAAATTTAATCGTGAATTTAAAATATTAATTTTTGACAAAAAAAAGTTTGGCTCCAGAGAGGATCGAACTCACGACCTTCGCGTTATTAGCACGACGCTCTAACCAGCTGAGCTATGGGGCCAATTTAGTTGATTGAAAATGTTTCGCTCAGTGAATTATTTTAATTTTCAAACCAGAATGAAAGTGAATATTCTGGTTTACATGATAAGATTATCATGCATGTCTATAAATTTTTTTTTTATTAAACATAGATTTGATTGGGAAAGGAATTTTTTTTTTCAGATATATGAGATACATAAAAGAATTGGATATTCAAGTTTTGTAAATTTATGTTCTATTTTTATATCTTTTTAGTCAAAATTCATATTCTTTTCCTCTATATTAATATTCCTTCATTTAAAAAAATTGAATATTTTTTTACGATCATTTTTATTTATTTAATTGGTGTAATAAAATTTTTATGTTTAGTGGAAACCGCTAAGCCACTAGTATTACAACTCCTTGCCAAATTCAGTTCTTCATGTTTTGGACAAAACTTGAAAATTTTCTTTCTTGTTTTTTTTTTAAAAAAAATAAAAAAAAAATTAAGTACAAAAGATTTTCCATCTACAAATCTTTTACAATTTTTTTCTAAAATTATAAATAATATGTTTGAATTTCAATTCATACATTAAGTTTGTGTGTTCATTCATGATACTCGTGTTTTCTAATATGTTCAACAAAACAATTGTCAAATATTTCATTTGTTTTCTAAAATTAATGTTTAATGGTCAGAGTAGCAAAACATGTTCAACATTCACATGCTGTTGACATTTAAAATATTCATTGAAAAAGATTTTTTTTCTTATTGTCATAATAGCTTATGTTGGCTTAAAATAAAAAATACGTTTACTTTTTAAATTTTAGCACGTGTTTCCAGATGATAAAATATTATACTATATATTCTTTAGAGAGACATCTCTCACTCTATGGCAGAAGTGAAACGAAATAAAATTACTGCTTTAAAAGAAGTTTTAGAGTATCCAGATCTCAATACTTTTAATTTTGTTCCCTGTCTGGTTCTTCTTTAAAAGCCTGCTTCTATTATGTAACTAGTCGAATTGACATAAGTTTAATTTTTATTGTCAACAGTCTTACACTTATGAAGTCTTACAAATTTTTGCACAAAATTAAAAAAAAATACTTACTGATGAGTTGTGACATTGAAAAACAGGTGACTGTATTGAGCACCCGAATCTTCAGTGCCGTGACAAGAAGGAAACGACCTAGAAATATAGTGCATTACATTAATTTACAAATATTTAGGATGCAAGTCCCAACTTGGTCAAAATAAGTTCATGTGAATGGATGTGAAAAAAAAGAAAGAATTTACTCACATTGTCAACATGACAGGCTTTCGATGATTTTGTTGTTTAGACTGACGCAAAAAAGCAATGGAATCGTTAGCAATTAAATCAGGATAATAATCTTTGGCATAGTCGAATCCATGCCTTATTTTCTGTCCATTCATGTTGATACTATAATTATAATATTTGGAATTCATTATAAGTCCTCCCCATTCACGCCAACCGGGAGGAATGTATGAGCCATTATATTTGTTTAGATATTTTCCAAAATAACCCGTTCGGTACCCTGCATTTGAAAGATAAGTCGCAAACGAACGTGTTTCATGTGTAGCTTGCCATTGAGGACTAGAACAATTATCATTATTTGTGAATACATGATGGTTATGGACATATAAGCCAGTCAATATTGACGAACGTGCAGGACAGCACATTGGAGTTGATGTATAAGCATGTCTAAATTCTGCGCCCTGGTCACGTAAGAGACGCAATGTTCTTGGCATGAAATTAAGTGAACCAAGTTCTACATCCTGATCATCAGTCAGAATCAATATTATGTTTGGTTTTCGCTCTTTTATTGGTATTGAATTTCTTATTGGACCACCATCAGCGTGCGTAAAAATTCCTGCATTTCCACTCTTTTTGACTCGTCCACGATGATTACCACGTTTGTGATGATTATGACTAGCAGATGTCATACCATCATTAATATTAATTAATATCACAAATATTATGAATAAAATCAATGACGAATTTAACAATGCAGATGCTGGTGTTCTTTGCATTTTAGTGCTGATTATTTTTTTGCACTTTTCCGTTTTTTGCTTCTTAATTAACTAATTTTATTTATATTCAAAACTCAATTGCTTAATCATTTAGTATATGAGAAATATGATGATGACAACTTTTTGTCTATTTTTGTCATATTAGCAATTCAAATTCTCATCACATAAAATTGAAATGAGTCTAAATTTGAATAAAATCAAATTGAGTTAAAATAAACTTGTCACTACTTTAAAAATGTCAATTAATTGATACGCGCTTTGAATAATTAAATTAAATGGTTTGTTGTTTAACATTCCAATTCCAGCAAATTATTATTCTTAATCGCTCTTGTCGCGCCTATATGTTTTCATCTCTGCTACCATAGTGTTGATTATATGCTGGCTGGTGTTACAAGTGTTAATGACTTTACCTCTGTTGTTCTTTGAGTTAATTAATTAAGAAACATTTTTTACTGTGAGAAACCAATCTTGTTTCTTCTTAATGTCTCGTATCTTAAATGTTATCTCGGACATAAAGTATAAAATATATCCTATAAAAAAATACACACTAGATTAATTTATTGTCCATATTCATAAATTTATATAATTCGACTTGTGTAAGAATCAGCAAAAAATAAAAACATAAACTCATAAGTGTAATTTTGCAGGTAATATTACAATGTATTGTCTCACGATTCGAATGCAATCATAGAATAATTAAAATTCCATTCTAAACCCTCAGTGAAATGAGCATACAAGAACAATTGTGAAATAACATATGCAATCCCGATCGACACATATTCAAATGTTTGCCACCCGGCAGCTGGATTGATAGTATAATTTCAATGTGTGTCGATCGTGAATGTTTTACGTGTTACACTTGGTGTTTAAAATTAAAACAAATCAGAATTGCTGGTAATCCAAACATTAATGGAAGAATAAGAAAATGGATAGAATTGCAGAAATAAGAATCTTGTTAATGTTTTATATGAGCCAAAATATAAAAATTGCCGAGTTCTTTTACAAAAATTATTAAAATAGTCGATAATAATCGAATTTCGATATTTCAAGAAGACTTCATTAAATGCAAAAAATTTGACTAGAATTGTATTTTCATATTCTAAAGAATTGAAAAAAATCTCCGATAATTCTTTTAGTTTTCAACTTTATAATTTATTGATTTTTATTTATTGTTCCAATCTGTGAAACTCATAAATTTGCAACAACTTAAAAGTGAAATCAAAGAGTTGCTGCACGACTACAGAATTATGTATGAAATACTTTGTGCTGAAATGTGGATCAAGAAAATAAAACTTTTTGGCGCCATAAAAACTCGTAAACGACCTGCCAAGAACCTTTTAAAAATATTGATAAACCGAGCATCGACTTTTATACACAAGATTCAAAAGCATTTGATAACTGAGTATTGTAGACAAAATTACTCAAAATTTTGAATAAAATTATATTAGCTACAGTTTCGTGAAAATGTGCGAATGATCCTGACCTCGTTATATATTCTGATTATTTTTACTAAGTATATTTATTACCCGAGACAGAGCATGAGAAAGTTTAGTAATTGATAATTTAATTAAAATTATTTAGGCAATTGGTTCTCACGATTTTAGTTTTGGTTTTTCAATTGTTTTGCTCATTCACTTATTTCACAAAAAATGACTTTTTAAACCATCCCCACCCTTGATCTCAATTTTACAAGTGAACGATTCGTTTACCTACAAACTTCAATCCAATTTAGATGTTAAACTAGTGTATCGGGTAGAAACCCAATGCGGATTATATTCACACCGTACTATCATAAGTCTTATGGATAGACCAAGATTTGCCCATCAGTAGTATGGAGGTATGAAGCTTGATAAGTCAACTAAGCTTCGCTCAGCATACGTTTGAAGTTATAAAGCTATCGCGTAAGCTGAGCTACGCTCAGCATAAGTTTGAAGATATGAAGCTAGAGAGGCAGCTGAGCTTCGCTCAGCATAAGTTTGAAGTTATAAAGCTATCGCGTAAGCTGAGCTTCGCTCAGCATAAGTTTGAAGATATAAAGCTAGAGTGTCAGCTGAGCTACGCTCAGCATAAGTTTGAAGATATGAAGCTAGAGAGGCAGCTGAGCTTCGCTCAGCATAAGTTTGAAGTTATAAAGCTATCGCGTAAGCTGAGCTACGCTCAGCATAAGTTCGAAGATATGAAGCTAGAGAAGCAGCTGAGCTTCGCTCAGCATAAGTTTGAAGTTATAAAGCTATCGCGTAAGCTGAGCTATGCTCAGCATAAGTTTGAAGATATGAAGCTAGAGAGGCAGCTGAGCTTCGCTCAGCATAAGTTTGAAGTTATAAAGCTATCGCGTAAGCTGAGCTACGCTCAGCATAAGTTTGAAGATATAAAGCTAGAGTATCAGCTGAGCTACGCTCAGCATAAGTTTGAAGATATGAAGCTAGAGAGGCAGTGGAGCTTCGCTCAGCATAAGTTGAAGTTATAAAACTATCGCGTAAGCTGAGCTACGCTCAGCATAAGTTTGAAGATATAAAGCTATCGAGTCAGCTGAGCTACGCTCAGCATAAGTTTGAAGGTATAAAGCTTGACGAATATTCTTTAAAAGTTTTTTAAAAAAAATTTTCATCCAAAGTTGAATTTTATAAAAATCACAGTCAACTTTTGTTTTAAAAAATTCGTAAGAAAGGAAAGTTTTTTGCCATTTCTGAAGCAACGGCTGTTCCTACCTTGCCCAAAAACAATACAGCTCTTCTATAGAGCAGCACGGATCAAATGTAAAAAACTAGAAGTCTCTACGATGTCTCGTTATTGAGATTTCTTGCTGATTAACTTGCTTGCTTGCTTGCTTGCTTGCTTGCTTGTTTGCTTACAGAAAGCGTATTTTGCGATTTTCTCAGCATTGCCACAACCAATTTGAAATCTGTTTTTTGAAAATGATGTAAAATTTCAGGCACAAACTTTTCTTCTTGCCCTTTTATAACCAATTTTGCTTTGTTTTCTCACAAAATGCGAAAAACTGATTTTTCAATCTGAACAAAACCAATAGATTCACACGTGAAAACGGTGTGAATATAATAAAATCTTAAATTATTAGATCATCTCCAATTTGTTATGAGAATTGACGTTGAACAGATAAAAACTTGAAATTCGTAGAATTGAGCAAAACTACTAATGAAGTCAATGAAAACTGCATCGAAATATGGTCTCGTCTCAGAAAACTTGATGTATAATGTCAACTTTTTGAATTTATTTACTCAAAGAAGTTTTTGTACATGTTGAAAAGATTGCATTACTTTTTTTTAATTTCTATAAATAAGTAGGAAAAATTTAACAATTTAACCATAAACAGTTCTAGAGCTTTATCTGATTCAATATTTCTTCTTTTATTTTGTGATATATGTTTACCAAAGCAAATTGGTGCTAGGCTGTAGACTTGAGCAAATAAACTTCGATTTATCAAATCTTAATAATTGTAGCCATAATGCTTCATGTCATAAAGAAAATCAGCTTAGTTTAGCAAATGTAACCATTGATTTATCATATTTTACTGTAGTAATTTTATGACTCATCGACATCATTTCAAGAATAATCAATTACTCCTTTCTCGCACTCTTAATTTTGCACAAATATTTTAGTCTGCATATTTCTCTCATAGAGTGATTTTTTTTCTCAAATATTTCAAAGTAATGTGTTCTGAATGAACTTGTAGATAAGTAGATGATGAAAACGAATAATTTTGGAAATAAACATTTGAAAATATCTAAAAATTAAACTGATTGCGATAAATTAATTATAACGTTTTCAGACACTGGATGAATGAAAGAAAAATTGGAAAAAATAAACAAAATTATTGAATTGTACTAATTGGAACGAAGCATATTAATTTAATCAATCAATTATTTTTTTTCATGTGCGGAAGCTATACATTTATTACGATGTGCCGTTTTGCTCCATTATTAATCAAGTGATAGACAGCATCTCACTTTAGGAAATAATAAATTCTAATTTCTCAAAAATATTATGTAATTGACAGGTTTCAACCTATTAGAATAATTTACTCAATATTTTTACCAAGAAAATTTAAACTTGAAATTCGAATAAATTTTAAATAGGGCATAAAGTCTTTCTTTTGAATTGAAGTAGAGCTTTTAAGATTGTTTGTCAGAAGAAAATATTCGCATTGAACAAGAAATCGATATGTACAATGCTCTCTCTTAGTAATCCAACGATTTGGAAAAATGTACGTTTCACAACAGAAATTACATACCTTACTTATTGCTTCCTTTTCTCCTTTTTATAATAATCATATTTTATTATGAAAGTGAGATGGAATGGAGCTTTATCGGTTAATATGCTATTCAATGTGCAGAAAGGTACTTGCGAATCATATAAATTCAGCACACGTAGATTTTAAGACGCAATAATAGAGTACGTTTTGCACACGTTTATTCTTAAGCATGTTCTAAATATAAAAAAAAAATGTTCTAATACAATATACACATATTTATTTTCGCATAACTTAATACATATTTCAAATCTTTATTATTGCTTACATCTCAAAAAACCAAGTCTTCATCATATATCTAGACTAAGATTGGAAATATTAGCTAGCGATCCTTGATTTTCAAAACTGCTTGGACATTTTTTTGAATTGAATTTTAATATAAGCAAATATTCGTCAAAAAATTTTATTTTTGCTGAATTATTAATTAGGTAAGTTGAAATTAATTCTATGTATTACAACGTAAAATTATGAATGATTGTCAGTGCTTCATAGCCCGACATCATATCTTGTATAAAGAATAAAGAAAATTGTCATTTTTTTCCATTCGTGGATTATTGATTTCTATCTGACTTGTATCAATTAAAAAGAGATCTACAAACATCATAAAAAATTAAATTTCATTCAATTTAAGACTTTTAAAATTTAATGAAAAATTCTTTATAAACATGATCTTGTAGTAAATTGGAGCCTCAAACTTCAATTCAAATAATAAAATCTCAGTTATGTAATACAGTGAAAAATTAAAAATTTAAATCCAAAGATTTACATCAATTCAAATTAAGATTAACTTATAAATCCGTAAATCACGTACTTAATATTAATATGACAATCCCTAACATAATTCTTGATTAAGGAGGATTAAGATTTAAAACAAAACCCTGCTTATAATTCATTAAGCGTGATAAAAAAAATTCTCATAAATTTAAAAACTTCACATATGTTTTATCTAATTCAAATTAAGTATTTTCAATTACTCATGGACCTTCTCTTCACTTTATTCATAAATAATTCGCTGCGTCTCATATTGTGATGTGTCACTTGAGAATGTAAATTGAAATTTACGATTTATTGTGGCTATATGAGTGAAACCAATTTAAACTTAGCCGGGAGCCTTTCTCAATTTTTTTTGTCTTCTTTTTATTACATTCATCTCAATTTCCATAAAATGCGCGTGTCATTGCCGTAAAATAAAAGAAAAAAAGTTGCAAGCTCACAGTTAGTGGCTATAATTTGAGCGATTATCGCTGCCCACAATAAATTTTTGTTTTTAGCACTTACTTTGTGAGATACTGTGAACATTTTTTTCATTTGTAGATGGGGAATAATGCGCTACATACTTTACATACAAACAGGAAGTTGTGGGTTGGATAAAATCCTAACCTGAAAGCAGTTTGTAAGAATTACTTTCTCATAAATGTTTTTTTTTAAATTCCTAATCAAATTTTCTTCCTGGTATGTTTTGTCCATCTTGTATTTCGGACTGAAGCTTTAGTTACCTCTAAATCTAAATTTATAGAACAAAACAGTTTCTATTTTGAACATTTTATGAGAAGATTTGCAGACTTTTATTTCTGATTTTTCGAAAGGTAAATAAATCATTGTCATTTAAACATAACATTGCTAGAGTGGGCGATTCATTGTTTGTTATGCATCTTTATAAGAACCAAACCCATTTTACTATAACAACAATAAGCTAATAGAAAATATTCTAATTTTCTGCTTCTTTCTCTTGTTTGATATTTATAATGTATTTAGCTCTGATTGTGGGATAGATTTCAATTTTCTTACTTCCCGTGAATGAATGAAAGAAAGATTTAATGGAATTAAAGTACAATCAGATGATGAGATTATAAAAGAAATCGGGTGAGTAAGAAGAATCATTTTTACGGAGTATGTCGTTGACGCCACTTTGTCTCTTTGTTAAATCTTGATATTATTATATATATTCACATGCTTTTATTCTTGATGTTAAAAACTCATAAGTGTCATTAAGATGAATCTTATTAATGTTTATCATACAATCAAGAGTGCATGCTTTGCATTATAATGAGTTTAATTTCATAAAAAAAAATATCTCAAGATTTTTTCATGGGAAAATTATGATTTAATATGTTAATATGATGTTGTACGATTTTCCATTCGATGTTTTGTAAAATATGATCTACTTTTCTTGAATAAACTATCCAAAGAAAATGTTCGATTAGATGCTGATATTATGCTGAAGTAATAAAATCGTGTAACTTAGAAAAAAATGTAATTTATCTAAATTCTCAATTCAAAATGAATAGTTTTAAAGATTTGATTTTGGTTTATTATTCTGTTTTAATAAACTTTCCGAATACTTAAAACTTAAGAAGGACTCGAAATATCTCATTCGATTTATAAGTCTTATAGCAAACAAAACAGGAGAGTTTCTTTACGTATCAAATAATTTGAATTAAGAAATGAAATCGTTTGAAATGAAAGCATTGCTTCAACTGAAAAATATATTGAACATTCCGAAAATTTGATTATTGGTTGCACTTTTTTAAAAATAAAATTATATCAATTATCTCAATAAATGAGCATCACTTATTGTTTTAGGTTTTTCAAAGAAAAAAGGTTCACATACAACTGATTGAAACGAAATCTGATGGTGTGGAAATGAGCATGAAGTGTGAAACTCATCATCTTGATAGAATTTTTATGGCTTTTGTATCTTTCAGGTCCATTGGGTATTATTTTATTCAATATACAAGATACACCAGCACTTGATTGGATTCGATTATTTTTCGTGCTTGGTAATCGATCAGAATCTTTGACGCCGTTATTTATATATTTATACATATATCTCATCATTCTTACAAAACATTTTTGACTAATGACCTTGAAAACCCAGGATTACGTGTGATTCCGTCTGATATTTCTTGTTCATTTGGGCAATTTTGAATGAAGTTGAGAAGTTAAATGCATAAGAAGAGACGTGAATGAAACTGAGAACAAAATGAAATGGAATTAATTCACTTGGCCTTAAAGGTCGAATGGAGTTTGTTTCTCAAGTTTGTGATGAAGAGTTCATCCTCAGATTTATTTTAAACAATTTTCAATTTTTTTTTTAAAAATTTTAAAACTCATGTTAAGTATTATAATTCCAAAATTAAACAAATATGCTTATAAATAAAATTTCAGTTTTCCTGATACGAACAATTCATGTTCGACAGACTTATCGAAAGTCTAGGGGAGTTATAATATGTACGTTCGAAAAGTTTAAATTTGAAAAAAACCGTTACAATTTTAATGATTTTATTGGAGTTTTTGATTGTTTTAAAAAAGAAAAAGCTATATTATGCTTATCATTAACGACCACACAAAAGCTTCATCTAGATTTCATACAAAACTTGTTTAATTTAAGTTTTTATTTTTTTGTAAATTTCGAAAATTTCGAACTGCAGGGTATGAAACTTCGAATTTTGATTGGCAGACAGACAAATAAGACATTTTCACAAGTTTTCTTGGAAACTGTAACGGTCGAAACTCTTGAATTGTTCGTATCAGAGTTTTCGAATAAGTCAGATCACATGTTTTTTAAATTCAATTCAACCATCCGTTGAACCATATTACATAAAACAAAAAAAAAAACTGCACGAAGCTGTACAAAAAATATTGGATCGAATTCTTTATTTTTTACTCGAGCGTTAAAACAAAACTGATTGTGCAATTTCACGCCAATAGGCATTTGATGTAAAAGTTATTCCGTCGTGACTATCATATTATTTTCTTCTCCCTTCCTTTTTCGCTTCATTTCATTTTTATCATTTAAATATAATCTTCTCTGCTGATCCAAAGTATCAATTTCAATTTTTCAGCCTTGACATTGGAACCAAATCTGATTGAAAATCAATGGAGGAAGGAATAAAAATTTCTTCACAGAACTGAATAATTTAGAAGATTTTTTTGAATGAGAATCGTTCAAATTTGATTATTTCTCATACAATTCTTTAACATCTTGAATATGGCGATGATGATGATGACGAAAAAGAATCTAGGAAAGAATAAACTGAAAGTTATTTGTTGTAAACACCAATTTCAGGTATATGATGTACACATTAAAACATTTTTGACTGGTATGTAAGAGTAAGTAATAACATGTTTTCTCATTTTATCCCTACGATGAGATTATAAATTAATATCTGTTTTTCACACCTTGAATTTCTTTGAATAAAAGGATTTTATGCATGAAAAAGCAAATTGTAATGTAACCATGTGTGCGAATTGATACAAATATATGGCAAGGAGTCAAACCTACCCGTAGAGTTCTGTTTTTCTTTCAACAAAAACCTTGTTCCAGTTTATGTGATTTTATTTCCTTTTTTCATTCTACCCTCATTAAAAGTACATAAATTTGCCGTTTTAGCAAATGTTTGCCAATATTTATCCACAAAAACTTTTACATGTTTAGTACTTTGTTCCATAAAAAAAGAAGAGAAATTTACAAAATATTATAAATCAAAATGATGACTGGAGAGAAAATGTTTTTGAACAAAATGATCTAATTAAAGAATCGTGAAGTAGATATTAACCAATAAAGTCGACTTATTAAAAAAATTCAATGATTTTTCTTTAAATTTGTTTGACTCTATATGATATTAAATTCCTGATGGAGAATATTTTACCACATAATTAAAAAGCTACTATCATATTCGTGACTATCATATTATTTTCTTCTCCCTTCCTTTTTCGCTTCATTTCATTTTTATCATTTAAATATAATCTTCTCTGCTGATCCAAAGTATCAATTTCAATTTTTCAGCCTTGACATTGGAACCAAATCTGATTGAAAATCAATGGAGGAAGGAATAAAAATTTCTTCACAGAACTGAATAATTTAGAAGATTTTTTTGAATGAGAATCGTTCAAATTTGATTATTTCTCATACAATTCTTTAACATCTTGAATATGGCGATGATGATGATGACGAAAAAGAATCTAGGAAAGAATAAACTGAAAGTTATTTGTTGTAAACACCAATTTCAGGTATATGATGTACACATTAAAACATTTTTGACTGGTATGTAAGAGTAAGTAATAACATGTTTTCTCATTTTATCCCTACGATGAGATTATAAATTAATATCTGTTTTTCACACCTTGAATTTCTTTGAATAAAAGGATTTTATGCATGAAAAAGCAAATTGTAATGTAACCATGTGTGCGAATTGATACAAATATATGGCAAGGAGTCAAACCTACCCGTAGAGTTCTGTTTTTCTTTCAACAAAAACCTTGTTCCAGTTTATGTGATTTTATTTCCTTTTTTCATTCTACCCTCATTAAAAGTACATAAATTTGCCGTTTTAGCAAATGTTTGCCAATATTTATCCACAAAAACTTTTACATGTTTAGTACTTTGTTCCATAAAAAAAGAAGAGAAATTTACAAAATATTATAAATCAAAATGATGACTGGAGAGAAAATGTTTTTGAACAAAATGATCTAATTAAAGAATCGTGAAGTAGATATTAACCAATAAAGTCGACTTATTAAAAAAATTCAATGATTTTTCTTTAAATTTGTTTGACTCTATATGATATTAAATTCCTGATGGAGAATATTTTACCACATAATTAAAAAGCTACTATTGCGTCATAGTTGCCCAATAAATAATTCATTTATTTAAACATAGGTACTTTAACGTATTTATTTTCAAACCTGTTTCTAATAAGATATATTGCTTCAGAATATAATATTTGTTTTGCTTTTTAAATCTTTCATATATTTTGCGCAATTGAATAAAGAACAAAACAAAACTTCATATGTAAATTTGAATTTTGAGACAAAAACTGAACTATACATAAAGATGCATAATGCGATATTTATAGAACCTGTATTGAAATCATAAAACGCACAATACAATTTTTTTAATGCTTTAAAAACTGAGTTGTCCACAAGTTAGGTTGAAATTAAGCAGCTCAAGATATTTTCCCTTTAATATAATCACGTCATGAGTGAACAACCCCAAAGGAATCTTAATCTTTAAACTTCTTTTTATTTTGTTGAATTCAATGAGACATTACATTATTTATTTTTTTTTTTGAATGGTAACAGTCATCAGCAAAAAAACTCGCTAAGTGAATGTATTTTGCGTGATAATTATTTTATGATGCATAAAATATACTTAGTGTTTGCAAGCAGTTATAAAAACTTACCGATAAAAGTATATTTCTTTGCTCCTTAGCAAATATTTTCAAAGAAAGAAACTAATCACCAGAAAAAGAGAGAAGAGAAACACTTAAAGTGGCATTAATTACTGTTTTCGGCTTCTTATTGCCTTTTTCGTCTTTCTGGAGTTATTCCAGTACGACTACGACATTAAATTTAATCACTATACACCAAAATATTATTTCGTAGATAGGAATTCAATTTTTAACGACTTTATGACCTTAAGGAATATTCTCAGTTTTCACACCATACTTTATCTAAGATTTTCATTCAGCTTTTTTGCGAATTAATTTATCTTTTTTTTTATTTATTTATTTATTTCTTTTTGAATTCACTAAATTTGAATTTTCGTCAATATTTTAACTTAATTCTTTTGTATATTTAATCACTATGAATATTTGACTTCTCTTTCTTGATATATTTGAAGTGTAAATATTTATAAAGATGTCTCGACAGCGAATACAACAAAAAATTTAAGAGAAAACTTCTTTAAAAGGATAGAAATCCGAATGCAAATGTAAAATCAAAAGATTAATCTTTTCTTCTTCTTTAATTATTTTCCAATATGTAGTATTTTTCAAACTATCAAACTGGCGCTTATTCCTTTTTGCGTTTAGCATAAAAAAATCTATGTCTGAATCAATCGAAATCCACGGAGCAACTGATTTTTTGTTGCAGCAGTAAAAGCCGGTTTGTGAATATATTTTTACGCATACAAGTGTTCTTATTGGAAGTAATCTACTACTTCGATTCCTTGCCGATTTTTTAAAAACAAAGTTAAGAAACGCTATTTTAAGTTTAGAAATAAACAAGAAAAGGGAACAACTTATTTGTATTTAAATCAAATGATTTACACATAAAGTTGCAGTTTATGCTAAACAATTCATTAGTGAACATCAAAGTGGGTTGTATTTATTTAAAAGTTTCACAAAACTTACTTAGTTTAAAAAAACGTAGTAAAAATTACAACACGGAACAACACAAATCCTTTTAATTTATTCTAATTTAAAGAATTAACTCTTAAAATGTCAAATTCAGAATTGAACGAATATTACGAACTCATCTCTCAATTGATTGATGAAGCTGGAAAGGTAAATTAATTGTCATATCAATTGAAGGAATAATATTTTTGAGTAAAATCGATTACATTGATTTTTATTTAAACTAAATTAAAGAAACTATATTAAGTTTAAGTTTTACGGCATTGAAATTGTTATCAATATTTTTGCGGTTATGCTAATGATTTTGATTCTTAAATCAAACTAATTAGATTAAATGAGAATTTTTAAAATGTTTCATTTAAATGGAATGGTCAAAAACTGGAACTTGATACATCATTGAATTCAGAGCGAATAATGGATTTATTTGTATTTTGTTCAAAAGTGTTCAACATATCAAGAGGCCCCATAGCTCAGTTGGTTAGAGCGTCGTGCTAATAACGCGAAGGTCGTGAGTTCGATCCTCTCTGGAGCCATCTTCTTTTTTGATTTTTTTTGTTGCTCAATAACATCTATAATCAATTTAATTTATTTAAAAAAAAAATCAAATCTTTTAAATTGTTTCAAAAATATTCAACAAAAAAAAAGAAAAGATGGCTCCAGAGAGGATCGAACTCACGACCTTCGCGTTATTAGCACGACGCTCTAACCAACTGAGCTATGGGGCCATTTGTTTTGGTTGACGCCGACGTTGATAAAGTTTATATATAAAAAAACATCAGCCTTTCTTCAGCCTTCCTTTGAAGTCATTCTTAATATTTATTTAATATCTCGTTAAATTAACATTATTCAATCCAACAATTTCATAAATCCTTTGGTAGAGGATCCTCTTTTTTATAACCATAAAATTCGATGTCAGCATCAATATCCATATATGAATTAATTTCCAAAGTCACATAATTAGTGCCTTAAATATGAAAAGTAAATTTTACTTTGCAAGAAATTTATTTTGTCAGCAAATTTACCTATCGCTCCGTCAGATATGAGAACCCAAAAATTGTCATCTTCTTTTTCACTTTTCATCAATTCCTCATTAGTGTATATAGAATTATAGTTCAGTGTGCGAACAAGCATTACGATAAAATCTTGTCCCTGAATTAATTTTTAATTTACAAAAATTAGAAACATTGTCATCGTACTTTAAACTTACATTTTTTGGAAAGGGTACTTGAACCACCGTCAGATCATTATCATCATGAACCTTTTTAACAATTTGAGATACATGTAACAATCCATGAACGCTATGCTCATTATCTTCTTCAATCAAGAAATCTTTGTTTCCTATTGAGTAAATTATTACATCCTTTTGAGAATTTTTGTGTCTTTTAAAAATCACCACAATGGTGCCAAAAGCAATGAAAGTTAGAATAAAAACTGTAAAATTTGATAACGTCATCTAGTCAACGAGCACCTTATTGTCTTTTAAAGTCGAAACTACTGTCGACGTACATTGAAATTCACCGAAAAGTAACTTCTATGTATGAAAATTAAAGGAACAGCTGTTAATGTGGAAATATATTGAAACTATTGTCACGACATATTGACAAAATTATTGAAGTTGAATTTCATTTAAAATATTTATAAAATATTTGCAGATCATTGAGAGCCGCAACTCTGAAAGAAAAACCATTGAACAAAAGTCTAGTGATATTGATCTTGTAACTGAAACAGATCAGCAAGTTGAAAAGCTTTTAATTGATGGAATTAAAGCAAAATATCCAAATCATAAGTTTATAGGAGAAGAAGATTCTAGCAGTGGTAAAAGAGCTGTATTAACTGATGATCCCACATGGATAATCGACCCAGTCGATGGTACTATGAACTTTGTACATAGTTTTCCACATTCTGCAATTTCTGTTGCTTGTGTAGTAGAAAAGGTATGTAAATAGGGATTTCAATCCCGGGATTCCGGGATCAAGATATCCTTAGAATTTCTCACAAATCTTGTTAATATTAAAGTGCAAAATAATAATAATCAGCATGTTTTTGCCAAATAATTTAGGATTTCTTTTTAACTTAGTTTACTTTTCTAAGTGTTGAAAAAAGTCTAGTCACATGTTCTTCGCAATTTTTAAAATTTTGAATTTTAAATAGGTTTTATGATCATTCGAATGTGTTTCTAATAAAGCTGCGATAAAATCTATTATTTGAATTAAAAATTAAAGTTATAAATTTTTTTATAAAACAAAAGTTTTAAAAGTTTTTACAAAAGAGAAATCATAATAGCTTGACAAAAAATCAGGGACCAAAATGAATGAAAAATCTGTGATGAAAAACATCATTATTTTTGATGATGAATAACATTATAATTTTTTTCATTTACGTAAAGTTTCATCACGTAAGAATCATTTTTACGTAGGATTTCATCACGCAAAGCAAAAAATGACGTATAAAATGTTTCTTTACACGTTTTTTAAGCAAAACTAATCTATTCCATCTCTTGTTTTTATTATTTAGCATTATTAATTCATTTGGTGTGATTTTATTCCATTTTTTGCTCTACGTGATGAAATCCTACGTAAAAATGATTTTTACGTGATGAAATTTTACGTAGTAATTTACGTAAATGAAAAAATTCATAATTTTTTTCATCATCAAAATAATGCACAATGATTCAGAATCGAAAAAAATGTTCAAAAATTCAAAAATTTCATGTTAATTAAACTATGTCTTTTAAATGCCAGATTAAAGATATTAACTTGAGGCATATCCTATGAAAATATCTCGTCCCAATTTGATGTCTAACTCCAGAAATCATTAATTTAATCTCACCCAAAATTTGTTTACAATTTGTGTATGAAAAAAAAAATATGATTTTTTCTACTTTAAGTTGTTATTTGGATGTCTTGGAAGCAGTTACTAGCTAATTTAAGCTTAGCTTTACATACTAAAACAACCAACTCAATAGAAATCTGCGTATTAAGCCTTAAAAATGGAATTGAAATCTGAGTATTTTTACACAACTTAAACTATTCATAAGTTGAAAAGTCTTCCAAAGACCTCTCTGAAACCTATACAAATTAATTAATTAAGCTTAAATCTATCTCCCATATTACTGAGGACATGCCGTTTGATGCCGTTTTCGTGATATTTGCGATCAAAGTTTACATAAATTTTCATACAAAATTTGATCATGCACAATATTTTTTGATAAACTTTTACAAACTTTTGGTAAAAAATCATGTTTATCCTTTATATTAAGGACTGATTTTTTGAGCAATGAACGAAAACATTATGTAGGAGATGTTAAAAGTTTCAAATCAAGAGAAATTAACAAAAACTTTCAATTTTCTAATGTGTCGGAAAAATATTGTGCACAAGGAATTTTTGGACATTTTTTCCGAATCTGAATCATAGTGATACTGATGTTTTTCATCACAGATTTTTTTTCATTCATTTTGGTCCCTGAAAATTTTAAATCATTTTTGATATGAAAAGCTAAAAGATAATCTTTATAAAAATTAACAAAAGCTTTCATTTTAAAGTTAAAAAGTTCAGAAATATTTTTTGCACGAAATATTGATTTCTTTGGAAAAACTTTAACTTTCTGTTTTAGTAATACACATGATTTGTAATTGAAAGTTTTTATTTTGAACTTGTTTAAAGCAATTTTATACCAGTTTCTGAACCGAATCTAGACCGGGATCAACAATTGCCAATACCGTAATCCCGGGATTGAAATTTTGGTCCGGTATTGAAATCCCTATAATGTAAATAACAAGAAACTCAAAGTGATCATCATAATTTAAGGAATTGTTTTCCTTTTAGCAAGCTGTAATCGGAATTATTTACAACCCAGTTTTGGGTCAAAAATTCACAGCACGACGTGGTCAAGGCGCATTTTATAATGATCAGCAAATAAAAGTCTCTGGAGAGAAAAATCTCTCGAATGCTTTATTAGTGACTGAATTCGGAACGAGTCGTGAGGAAGAAAAAACAAAAGTTGTACTTGAGAACATCACTAAGCTAGTGAAAATAGCTCATGGTTTTCGATCTCTTGGATCTGCTGCTTTGAATATTGCAACAGTTGCATTAGGAGGAGCTGATCTTTACTATGAATATGGTATACACATATGGGACTTTATGGCTGGTATGTTAATTGTTAATGAGGCAGGCGGTTATTGCTGCGATCCTGCTGGTGGTGAAGTTGATTTAATGAGTCGCCGAGTAATTTGTGCATCATCAAAGGAGTTAGCTGATGAAGTGGTTTCTCATTTAACTCAGTTTTATCCCATGCCACGCGATGACTAATTATATAAACATTGTGAATGAAAACGGAAAATTATGGCTAATTCAGGAAAGCTCTATTATGTGTAGAAAACTGCAATTTCAAAAATTATAAAGTACATGTTCATTATTCAATGTAAATCTCTGAGTTCTAATAAAGAATTTAATGTGTGTTAGTGCAGAATCGTTGTATTTAAATTATTATCTTAAATTATGCGGTTTGGAAAATCTAGTACGATTCCAGTCAGCTGTTTATGTATTTACAGTTGTCGCTTGTTTTGAATGTTTACATAATTTGATAAGATTTCATTTTAAAGATCTCATTGGTGTTATTTTTGTTTTATTATTACTTTAACCACATCATTAAGTAGATTACTAATTTTAACGGTTAAATAATAATTTTGAAGTAGAAACAAAACGATTCTAAAGCCCAAATGTCGGACATGAACATTGACGATTGTTATGAATTAGTTATGAAGCTTGTTGACCAAGCTGGAGAGGTATGGTTTTAAAATTCATAAAATTTTATTCATTGTGATTAAATATGATTATAGCTTGTGGCTTCCCGTAACTCAGAAAGAAAAACTGTACAAATAAAATCTCATCCAACTGATTTTGTCACTGAAACTGATCAGCAAGTTGAAAAGCTTTTTGTTGATGGAATTCGTGCAAAATTTCCTAATCATCAGTTCATTGGAGAAGAAGATATGAGTGATGGAAAGAAAGCAATTTTAACAAACTCACCGACTTGGATTATTGATCCAATCGATGGCACCATGAATTTTGTTCACAGCTTTCCACATTCATCAATTTCCATAGCATTATTGGTGAACAAAGTAACGGAAATTGGAATCGTTTATAATCCTGTTTTGGGACAGAAATTTACAGCACGTCGTGGTCAAGGTGCTTTTTATAATGGTCGTCAAATTCATGTTTCCGAAGAAAAGGATTTAACAAAAGCGCTTATTATGGTTGAATTTGGAACAAATAGGGAGAGCGAAAAAGTTAAAGTCATCATGGAAAATTTAAACAAACTTGTTAGGAAGGGACATGGGTAGCTATGCATTAACTATGAATTTTTTCTTGCTATTTTTAAATCAAATAATTATTACAGTTTAAGGTGTCTTGGAGGTGCAGTTCTGAATATTTGTTATGTTGCACTAGGAGCTGCAGAATGTGCATATGATTTTGGTGCTCATGCTTGGGACTATGCAGCAAGTGAGTTCATCGTAAGAGAAGCTGGAGGTATTACAATTGATCCTTCGGGAGGAGACTTTGACATAATGTCACGTCGATTGTTAACAGCTAATAATATTGAAATGGCTAGACAATTGTCAGCTGAATTAACTCAATACTATCCAAGTCCACGCGATGACGAATAAATTGTCTTTATTTAAATAATAATAAATTCAAGGGCTAATTTATTAAAAATTCAAATTCGTTAATAAAAAATAGCAAAAAAATATCAGTTGCCGAAACCCGGGATTGAACCGGGGACCTTTAGATCTTCAGTCTAACGCTCTCCCAACTGAGCTATTTCGGCTACTCGATTGATGGTAATGTCATTGACTAAACACCTTTAAAAGCAATAAATTAAAAGAATCTAAATGCATAAGATATATAGTGTAAAATGTTTTTTTAAACAAAATTTTAAGTTAAATCTTAAAAATGTTTGAAATTTTTAATTTTAAATTCTTTTTACAAATTTTGATTAATTTTATCGTTTTTTTAAAAAAATTCGAAAATCGAAAAGTTTTGTACCTTTTCTTCGGAAATCAGGGTTACAAAGCTTGTTTATTATTGTTATTGAGAATAGAAAAAATTACAGAAGTCCTCGTGTTATTGATCGAGGGACTTAAGCGCATTTTTGTGTTAGCGATCAGTATTTGATTTTCTATTTATTTTGCGTTCATTTACAGATCATGAGAAGATTAGAAGATCATTAATTTTAGTGCAATTAGCAAATAATTACAATGAATGCTTATATAGAAAGGCTTTGTTATTTAACGGTCAAAAAATAATTTGAAATTTTCCCGCTAAAAGTTGCACTTCAAAAACAATTACTATAGTATAGTTAATAATTTGTAGCAATGAATTTCCATATATAAAAAGTTTATCATTTAACTATTAATTGAGATTCAAATTTTCTAACGGTCAGTAAGTTTTTGAAAGCTTCCCGCCAAAAGATATACAAAAAATCATTAATTTTAGTATATTCATCAATTTAATATCTTTCATTCTCCTATATAAATTGTTTATCATTTAACGGTTTTCTGAAGTTCAAATTTTGTAACGGTCGTATGCATTTGAAAGTATTTTGCCAAAAATTACCTTAAAAGCATTAATTATAGTATAAATAACAGTCTGTTGCAAAAAAAAAAAATCATATAAAAAAGCTTGGTAATTTAACGGTTTTTTGAGATGCAAAATTTTTCAACGGTAGAAATAAATTCGAATTTCTAAACGCTCTCATCACGTGTTTTTTCATATAAAATATAAAAATCATTAATTATAGTACAAAAACACTGTTTCAAGACTTTTAAATGCGTTTCCCGAAAATAAAACAATGGTCCTGAGCTAATAAAACAAACTAGAACTCTCTACGATATCTAGTTAAAAAGTTTTTCTCCGCCCGAACGAACAGACAAAGTGAGATATTAAACTACCTTTTAGAAACAAGTTTCAAAAATGCGGTTAAAAAAGTAATACGAAACTAATTTTTCAAACATTTCATATTGATAAAAAGAACAAAATTTTGATTACTGGTGATTACTGTTTGATTTGTAAAAGTATATCTTATTTTTCATCGAATTTACTGCTACTATGGGTTGGATTTTAATTTCAAGAGCTTAGAATTCAAATAGTTTATAGAACAAAGAGATCAGATATTATTAATTTGTGAATTTAATTTTCAAACACTTTGTCATGGATCAAAACAAGATAGCTTTAAAAGTAGCAGAAATATCAATAAATAAATTTAATGACCAAATTCATCACAAAGTATTACAGTTACGAAATTTCCGAATTACGAACTCTAATAAATCGTCCTTGAATGATCTGGAAAAACTACGAAAAGATGCAATAAATTGTCTAAGAGTTGTAAAACAACTAAAGCAGTTATTAATCGAAATAGATCATTTAAAATCTAGAACGAGACATGAAGATCAAGAAAAGTTCGATGAACTTACATCTATAAGGCGAGATGAGGCCCTCAAAGAAATAAAGTTGTATCAAGGTAAACAATATTTTAATAATAGAACTTGACTACAACGATTTATTAATTTATAAATAATAATTACAGATATGAAACCAATTGAAAAGTTAAATGAATTATCTCATCATTCAAATAATGACATCGATTATGACTTGTCCCCAAAAGAAATTAAAAACCATGATTTTCAGATCCAACTACAAGTTGATGATTGCGAAATAAGGAAACGAGAAATTGAATCAAGAGAAGCTATGTAAGTGTTCACACAGTAAAACAATGAATCATATGAGTTTTGTAAACAAGTCTCATATTTTTTTAGATTAAGGGAATTTGAGAATCTACAGACAGAATGCGTAGCCATTTCACAACTTTATAGAAATGTAAACGAATTAGTCACGGAGCAGGCTCCAATGGTAGAGAAAATATCAGAAAATGTAGAAGTAGCAGAAATTCAAGTTGAAGAGGGAACAAGACATCTGGAGATAGCGTTAAAATATAAAAAGACCATGTATCCTATTGTTGGAGGTAATATGAACCTAATTTCAAAAAGTCCTATAATTATAAAAAAAAATTACATTTAGGCTTACTTGGGGCTTGCGTTTTCGGACCTGTTGGGTTAATAGCAGGTCTAAAAGCAGGATCAGCGGCAACACTTTGTGGAGGTATTTGTGGATATGCTGGTGGAAAATTCCTAAAAAAGACCGATTCTCCTACTACTCCAGAGGCATCTGACTTAGATTCAGCTAATCCACAAGAGTCAGAACACGCAGAGCAACAAGTAACATTTAAGAGATAATTTTGATGCATAGTCTAATTCAATACTCACTTATTAATGTATTAAGATAAATAAGTTTTGACTAGCTATTATCAGTTAATATTCGAGGTAATGTCATGGATTTGTAAAGAATATATAAGATTTTACTTTTGAAGTAATTCATAAGTTTTGTTGCAAAACTATGACGTTGTACACACACATCAGCTCTTCCATGTGCCCACTTATTTATAAGAATTGGTTAAATATATTTTGAATGTGATAAATAAATAAAACTACCAATTAAATTCTAGTTTTAAACTTATTGATTTTTTAACCTTCTTTTTCAAATTTTTTTAATCTGAAAATGAAATTTTTCACTTTATTTAAGCTTTCCTGTTGTTTAAACCTATAATTTGATGAAAATAAAATTGAACTAAATTTGAATACATTTTTGATGAAAGATATGTTTTTATTCCTCAAATATATCTTCATTAAATTAAATTTTAAAAGAAGTCATATATTTTTTATCTTCATTTTTGCTGCAAATTAGTTATAATGAATTTTTATTTACATTATTTCCACTATCAACTCATACATTTTTCGACCATTATTTTTTTTATTATCAATTTCACTTATTTAATGATGACAAATAGAAATTAAATTTTGAATAATAAAAACAAAAAAAATATTTTTTATATTTTTAAAATATTAAATAATCCTAAAAAGTGACTTGAGTTTTTTTAATAACATAATCAAAGTTATTATAATAAAATCAACAAGAATTTAGTTGTTCCATTCATAATTTGAATTTTAAGCATGGGTTGGTTCATATTCTTTTTCGTTTCATTGTTCAATTTGTTTTAAAATGAAAATAAATGTAATCTTGAATATGACGAGATTGAAACAGAACAATAAAATTTTAGCATAGCCTTAGAATGTCTCGCTTTGAGAACAGTTTTGTAATTTAAAAATAAATTTGAACTGGTTCTTTTATATCTTAGAAATTAAAATGAATCAAATTGATAGTTCTAGTATGAAAGAAACTAAGATTTAATTGACAGACAGTACTACTGCTGTTCCACAAAGTCTCAATTAATCTTTAGATTTTAATTAACACTGAATTAAAAAACACAGCTCGCGCTTGTAGTTTTACCAGATTTAATAACCCTGGACCTGATAAAATCTTTTTTTTTTAAATTTTCATTAGAAAAAAGCAGGTCATTTGCAAATGACATCCATATAAATTGAATGTCAAAATTAACCTAAGCTCCTAAGGATATAATCTGAAATCAAACTCATATTAATTAAATTTAAATTAAAACATCATTTTCGATTTTACTTAAATCGAATAAAATGATTTCATTTTAAAAAATATAATTTCATCATTATCTAAGAAATTTTGAATACAGAAATTTATCTATTCATCAATCATCAATCAGACATCAGACTCAATTTAAAGAGCATTTTTTGTCATTCATTTATCTATTTGTATTTTTTGTTTTTAAAATTCCACTATACAATGAATATAATATATACCATAATTAAAATTATTACTTTAATTTTACTGATGAAAGAATCTCTATGTTCTTTGTTTTCACTATGGTTCAATTATTGGAAGTGGTGGAGAGAGAGGGAGGAAAAATGAAAACTTTATATATATTTTTTTTATTATTTCTCAAATTCTGAAATTGATTTTTATTATATTTAATTATAAGTTATTTTTTCAAACTACACAAACATGTAACTTTAAATTTTTTCATGGTGTCTTCAGGAAATTAAATTGTGATATTTATTTGTTCAATTATCGTCAAAATTTAAAATTGTTGCTAGTATTGAGAGTATATTTGCGGAGAGTTTGATTTTCTTTAATCTTTAAGCTATTGGTATTTCATAAGGTATATATGCATTTATTTTCATTTACTAGTTTCTTCATTATTGTATTCTCTGCATTTATTTGCAGAGTAAATTTTTACTAATCAATCATTCTTCAACCATTTTTAATTCATCCTAGTTCCAAAAATTCGCTAAATTCTTTCTTACATACATTTTCCATCTAATTCTCAAAACGGTTTGAAATAATATGTGTTTATAACTTTCATAACTTTGGTGAAAGGTTTCTCAAACTAAAATTTGAACACTTTGTTTTCTTTTCTAAATGATTTTAAAAAATCATAAACTTGTTGAAATTTCGATAATTTTAGATTTTAAAATATTATTTGTATCAAAAATAGTGTGTAACACACGGTTTAAGATCTCTATGACTTTATTTGGTTATTTTTATGTCAAATTACCAAAAAGACAGCAAGTTTATAATATCATAATCATGATTCTTTCAAACCCTAATACATACAATAATATTTTTTATCATTTCTCGTATTTTGATTCATCGAATGAAGAAAAAATATTTTGTAAATCTTCTATTCATTAAATAATCTTTCCAGTAGGACAGCACCAAGATTCTTCTTATGTTCTAATTTTTTTTTTCTAGAAAAACTCTCCATTACTCTTTAATCCTACCGCAATACGAAAAAAAATTCATATTCATTTCAATAAAAATTCTTCATTTCTAAGAATGCCGATATGTTGCCTTATTGTTACATTCATTTAAATCCTCAAAACGTCGTCTTCATTCTTAATCTATCTATCTAGCTATCTATCTATCTTTTCACTTTATAAATAGATTTCTTCATTCTTGAGATTTTTTTTTTTTTTTGTTGTAAAGTCAAATCTAGTAATTGATGAATAATTAGCTATTGATGCATACACACTTTTGAACTGAATTTGAATTTTGCTTAAAAATATTTGAGAAATTTTCTTTAAAGAAATACAACCATTCTCTATTAAATTAATTGAATTTCACTAGTTTTTGATGAATGGACAGAAAATTTTTTTTTCATCTAGTCTGATACCAAAAATATGTATGCATTTATAACTTAATTTTTTTGAAAGAATTTGAGTCAACAAATTTTTATAAAAATATTTATGACTATGCATAAAAGTAATGAGATTTTTTTTATCTTCAATTGGAGTTATTATGATGGGAATTTCTTTAATATTGCTAATCCTCTTAACAGTGTATGTGTTTATGACATTAATAATTTTATGCATATTTTCACACTGTTTTTCCTTATTGACTGACTGTGTAAATGAGACCATTTAAGAAACCTATTCTAGCTAGTCGAGCAAGAATACGGAATGGATTAGTCTTGGGTTTCTTGTCGTTTGCATTTTTGACTGTAAGTATGGGCAGTGCTTCGCATCAATTCATTTATATGATTTGCAAATAAAAAATATATGAAAAAAGATATCAACTTTATCACGCAAATATGCCAAAAATTTACTCAAATAATAAGTTTTATTTGATTTTTTCAAAAAATAGTATACAGTACATAAATTTTTCAATTGCCGTCTATAAATATTATTGAGTGCTTTATTATTTTTTTTTTCAGTTTTTGTTCAAATTCGTTTTTACTTAATGCCTAATTTATACTGTAAACAATATCACTTTAATATGTCAAAAAGAGAAATCTTTGATAAAGTTTTTAAAACAAAATTTAAGAAATATAAAGACAAGAAAAATTTCGCTAATGAGATTAAATAATTAACTTACTGAATTTTTAATCATATTTTTCACTTCACAATGATTGGCATTGAAATGGAAATACGCTGCAGTCATTCGCTACGTATAACATAGTGACTTTTTTTATTTATTTCTTTTCATTTAAAAAAAAAGAGATATCACATAGTAAAGAGTCCATAACTCACGCCTCTTATTTTAGCGTCTGATGCATAAAATTACTGTGCAGTTTCTTTTTTTATGTTGCATTTTGTTGTATCTTTATTACTTTTATTTAAATTAATTTATTTATCAATAATTAAAAAAAAAAACAAAAAAACAAGTTTACAATTATGTAATGTAATAATTATACTTTAAATTTATGTATTGTATATTTACAATCATAATTTCATCATTTTCACGTTGTTGATCAAAATTTACATTCGTGATTCTTAAAATTTAAGCTATTCACTTGGCTTAGACACTTTTCAAATTTTCACCCATCTTTTCTGTTCATTTAAAAATTTTATTTTATTAAATCCAATTTTGTTGCCGTTTTTAGGACTTTGAAATTCATATTCACACAAATTTTCAATTTTTGTGAATATATTTTATATTTGTTTTTAACGAGATTTTGTACTCGTTTATGGAATTTAAACCTTTTCATTTCGATGGGATTATTAATTAATTTATTTAAAAAGAAGATAGTTTTTTTTCTAGATTTATGCAAAGGCGAATTATGGAGGGTTCTTGATTAATAGAGAAAGGATTTTTGAGAAACTTTTTGAAAATATTTATATATCCGCCTTTGTAGACTTTGGGTTTTAGAGGAAAAAACTCCCCTGATACTTTCCGTCAATACTAAACTCCATAAAAAAAATATTTTGATAAGTCCCTGAACTTAAACATATAAAGCAATATAAAGTTCTGTAAAATGAAGAATAAGGAAATAAAATTTTTGAATGAAAAGATGCAAGATAGCAACAGAAGTCTCTATGCCTTAGTACACATGGATTTGTAAAACAAAAATTTAAAGAAATAATTTTTTTACTCTCGAATTCTTGTACACTATTTTCTAATCATTTCTTTTACTTTTAGAAATGGAAGAACACTATAATCAATGAACATTTTGTTTTTGTTTTTATTTTATCTATGGCCGCAAATTGTTTAATTTTATATTTCATTAATCTTAGTTAATCGTATTAATTATTATTCAACGGCCCTCTCCTAGAATACGATAGGTTTTATTTAATTAAAATCTTTTTTTTTTTGAGTTTAGTTTTTATCAGTTCAAAATTACATCTTTTTTGGCAGAAATCAATTTCACGTTTTCCAATTTTCATTTTTTAGATATTTTTATAAATTATTTTTAATCTACATAATATTCATATTTTTTTTTTCATGTTGCTTTATTTTTGATAGTTGATCGCAATAAAACTATGAGAAATCTTTTATTGCAAGTCTTCTTCGGATTTAGGAATATCGAATATTTCTACAAATAAAGGCGGCAAACGGGATGAATATTGCCAATTAATTCTGAAAAAATCTAGATGATTAAAGTGACGTAAACCGAGAGTACGCAATTCCATAATTTTTGCTTCGAGGGCCGGCATAATTTGGAGCGCATTTGCTGTATTTGGCCTTGAACGAATGATTTGAACTCGCAATGCTTCGGCTACTCGCTCACGAGTTTTCAGTATTAATTTTTGTTCTGTTATACCGGGACGATCAGCCGCAAGTAAGATCAATGCTGAATAGAGACCAACTTCTGTATCATTTAGATTACATGCATTAAGTCCATTTGTAAAATTGCACAGGGCGTTGACAAAATCAGCCTACAAAATAGAAAGAAAAAAAAATTATAAAAAACATCAAAAAAAGAAAATGCCGAAACCCGGGATTGAACCGGGGACCTTTAGATCTTCAGTCTAACGCTCTCCCAACTGAGCTATTTCGGCTTATTTGATTATATATATACGTTTGACAAAGGACAAACTTGATACTAGGCATTCATTTTTATGTGGTTTTTAAAAATAAATTTGCAGGATTGACTTATCAAATTTAAATATTTAAAAATGAACAAAATTTATTTGTAAGTACTTACGTCATACATAATCTCAAGTTGCTGACGAGTCATAAAAGTACCGTCGTCAAACGTTAGTGTTAAATCGGTGGTTGCCTTAGCGATGTAATTAAGCCATACTTCGAAAAAGCCTAATTTTATTAATATTAATTGATCGTCTTGCGTGAAATCACAAAATCCAGGTACACGTTTAGCAAATTCTACTACACGTTGAACTGACGGAGTCATGCGAAGTGCATACTGTTGCCAAAGGAAAATGCGCTGCTGCTCTAAAGATTCCGAAACGGATGATGGTATTATCTGTTTATCAACATTTAATAATCATTAGTTTGAAAATATATGTTAAGGAACTTAAGAAAAAATTACCCCACTATCGTCCATCGCCTGCGTTTGTGTAGAAGATGTAATTAAATTATTAGATGTGTTATTAGATGATTGATAACTATTTGGCATTATTAATGGTCGATGATTGAGTCCTTTCACTGCACACTCTGTGTACGAACAATGGGTTCGATGTGCCTGCGACACACACAATATCACATCATACACAGATAATTCTTGATTCTCATCAGAATTATTATTATTGTTATTATTAGTATTATTATTATTATTATTATTATTGTTCATATGTGATGCCTCAATCATATCTGCGCTAATGTACGATATTTGCTCGATCGGTGGATTAGTAGTGGTGGTTGAACACATTTGTTGATGTGAAGAAACTAACAGTGCACTTTGTGTACTCTTTACACTGCTGATATCTGTTGCTGCTGCTGATGTTGTTGTTGTAACAATTGATGGAGAATAAGCAGAACTATTAATACTTGTCGTGTTTTGTACAGATGATGCTACTGCGACTGTTGCGTTGACAACACGAATATTTGTCACATAAATGTTTGCGTTTCCATTCACAGCTTGACCATTTACAATCAAACTATTTGACGGTAAGTCATCTACAATTGAGTTACCGCCAATATCACGAGTACGTTTTGGAACACGACCGTATCGTACAGCTAAAGTGATAAAAAATTAAGAAAAAGAACAAATTAATTATTTTTATTGTGCATTTATTTAGCTCAAAATGTAACATTATATTATTTCCACAACCACATTAAACGAACGGTTCTTTTCTTCAAGAGAGTTGTAACTTTCCTATTAAGAATTCTACCAATAATTTTTACGAAAATGGCAAGCAAAACAGAATGAAAAAAAATAGCGAATAAGAGAAAAACCAGAGAAATGAAAAGGTGAATGAAATTGTATAAAGCATAATTTATTGCTCCAACATTTACAATACCTCTTCTACCTTCCTTCTTAAGCAAAACGATGAAAAAAATTATATATAAACAAACCGCATAATTTCACATGGAAGCTAAGAAAAGTGAAAATGCACTTCCGTGTCTCAATTGAAATGCAAAACTTTTGCTTTTTCCTACACAAAATTCATTTCAGTACAGTTTGTTGCTGTATGCAATTTACGGAAAGTTTCTCAGCCGTATAACATTTCTCCTATCTGTCCACTGTCACGTATCTTATGAGCATAATTATCTTTTACAAACTCTGTGAATAGGCTGAAAACAATTCCAGCTTACGTGATAAGCTACATTGAATTTATTTTGCATGTCGACTGCTGCAAAGATTTTTTTATGTCATGCTTTCGTAATTGCAATTTTTACTTTTTTGGACTTTCAATTATAGTTGCAATATTGCATGCAATGTTTTTTAATACTTTATGTTCAAGTATGTCAGGAAATATATATATATATGTACAGTGTACACCAACAACATTGTTCATTGACTTCTCATCACAGTTTCATTTCATGCTCACACTTATGATGCTAATGTTTTCTTGATCTTTTTTCTTCTTTTTATCATTGTATTTTTACTCACTTGCTACCGCAATATTTCAACATTTTACTCTTACATATTAAATTTATTATGTATAGTTTTTTTACCGCTAATTGTATTATTAACTGTATTGGAATAGAAAAGTCTGAATCGAGAAATTTAAGTTAATGACCTTTAAAAAATTTAAATGTCTAGCCGTCTTATAAATAATTATTTGCCACTATAAGATTTTACAATAAAATCCATTTACTCTACAAATGATTCTCAACTTTCATTCAAGAAAAACTTTATACAATGTGATAAAAGATTGGGTCCCTAAAAGTAATATGTCAACTACCCATAAGTAGACCAATATAAACTAGGAGGATCAAATAATGTTACAAAATTTATTAACAATTTAAAACCAAAAAAACTTATTCAAATCTTTTCAAAAAAATCTTCAACTATAGTAAATGCAGCTGCAATTGTACAATATGCAATTTTAAAGCGAATATTTAACTTTGTATACATGTTTATATGTGTATAGGCTCTCATTAGAAATCATTTCACATTAATTGTATTCAATTTCCGCTTTACTTTTATCTAATCTTTATTTTCCAAAGGCATTGATTCATTAGTTTTTATTTTCTCAAACAAACGAACAGAGATAAATATTCAGCTGTACCTTTAAATGCAGTTAAATAGATTTCTATACTCACAAATATTTACAACTTGCAGCAAAAAAGTTGTACATTTTGATTTACCTCGAAGATATACAAGTAGAAAAAAAAATTATTTGAATAGCTAATTCATTATATTTATAGCTCTTTATTTGATGCATTAGGTCGCTGAGTTTATTAGCCTCACAAAACGAATACTATAAGCTGTCTCACTTACATTTAAAATTTGCAAACGAAAGACGATGGGGAGATGGAAGCTTTGAATTTTTCTAATATGTATGTGCGATTTGTAAGGCATGTTTGATGGATTATTACAAAAAAGTTACATAAAAATACATCAATAATAAATTGTTTATATACTGGCTATAAGAAATTCTTTTATGAATGAAGGCTATTACAAAACATACGAAAAAATACTAACGATGCAAATGCTAAGCAAATAGTATGAAAATTTGCATACGTTTAACTAGGTTAAAACTTCGGGAAAGCTCAAACATGTACTGCCTAAATACTCAAACATTTGCTTTAAATTTGTTAATCTGCTCCTTGTTGGTAAGAATACAAAAACATTAAGCATTAACTCTCTTTTAAGTTAACGTAAATTTGATTTGTAACTCTCTGTCATGACTACCAATAGCTTAAAGATCAATAAAGATGTACTTAAACCTACAATCTGTTGAAATTCTGATGGATTACCCACAACTAATTTTGTATTTAAAAAAAAAATATTAAATCAAAGAAAAAATGATAATGCATGGCATTTCGAGATGAAGAAGTAAAAGAATCCATTAAGAATGATTTTAAATTTTTTGCTCTTTTAGTTCATTCTCCGACAAATGAGACCTTTAAGCTTAAAAGAGTTGATTTTATGAAACAGTGAGTAAAGTAGTTTTTCCACCTCAACCCAAATACTATTTTTATGGCATTTCGCGAACTAGATGCCACTTTAACTCCTCACGCTATTGTACATACACCAACTATCGTACATAATAATATAAATGGAGAGTTCAATAAACCAAAAAAAATATATATATATATATCTACATGTACATATATATATGAATGCACTTTTCCATTGTTTCATTGCTTGAATGAGCGAGGTTACTTGCTAACTGCTGCACCACTACCGTACACATTTACAGCAAAAAAATGTACTTTCTTGTACTATTGCGCGCCGCTATAAACTAAAAAAAAGAAAAGGCAAGAGTGAGAAATGCTAATGCATTGCAATTTTCAATTTAAATTATTACTTTGTACTTTTCATTTATATGTATATAATATATCGGCAGAATTGAACTATGCATTTCCTGGATCGTATCGTAAAGTGCACGATACTCTCTACATTATTGTCTCTCCTTGAAAAAAATTTGTATGAAACAGCGATTCGTCATTATGTCTCATATTTTAACATCTTATCTTTTCCGCCTCACTACACTGATATCATTCTCTCTTAATTATTATAAACTTATAATTTTTTTGATTGCTTGTTTGGCAAATTTGTTATTAAATTGTTCTAGTTCCAAATATAATCGAGCTTAAGGCAACTTTAGACATACGAAGCTTGAAGGATAGAGGGATAAATAGGATCAAGAACGACAAGATTACCTGACGAACAAGGCGTGGAAACTCAGGATTAATCCTGAAAATTCCCCAAAATTTTAAAAAATCCCTGAGCCAATAAACATGGAAATGTGAAATCCCTTTTAAATCACTGATGCATTTGATGAATAATTTCGGGATTTAAAAGGTTTCACATTTTAATGTTTAATGGCTCAGGGATTTTTTAAAATTTTTGGAATTTTTCAGGATTAATCCTGAGTTTCCACACTTTGCTTACGAACGATTGAACAAAAATGAATGCATGACTAAAACGTAGACTAATTTCAAACAAATAACCAGATTTGGTTGATAAATGTTGCAACTAAAAGTACAGACAGTATAAATTAACATTCATTCATAAGTTACTTCTTGAGTAAGACTAATTTAAGATTTATAACTTGAACTTTTTTTCTCGCATTTATGGAATTAATTCTAATTCGTTGTCAAGGACATAATTTTGTAGCGCTTATAAGCAGTTTTATAACCACCAAATTATAATGATAATTAAAGTTCATCCTGAGAATAAAGTGAGACTTTTGTGATATTTCACTAGACTATTTGAAGGCACTATACTATTTTGATATCCGTAAAAGAATATTTGTCAGAATCTTTGGAACTTAACTTTTTTAGAAAGATTCTAAATTGGCCATACAACCTAATGTATATAATACAAACGAAGACTTCTATATTTGCAAATTAATGGTTTTTTTTTTATTTTACAAACTCCTAGTTATTAAGAGGTTGATGCAATCTAAATCGACTAAGTATGGTTTGAGGGAGTGGCAGAAGCACATTGAAGATTGTAATTTATGTCATGTTTCATCTTCTCAAAATCATTTTAATGCACAAAGGAGACAACATGAAACTTGGAATTGCATTTCCCAATTCGCAGACGAAATCTGATGAGTGCACGACCGAAAAGAGAGAAGAAGTAAAGAGAATGAGAGAACAATGTTAGAGAAACGGTTAGTTGGAGGTCAATAAACTTCTTCATATTTTACTTTTCGTTGTTGTTGAAACCCGAATCGGCACGGAGCATAAATTTTTATGTATTAACATAAAATTTATCGTAGACAATGGTGCAAATGCACACGAAAATTTGTCATCACCCACTCATCGGTCTCGAATTAAACCTCAGAGTATTTGTCCCATTCCATGTGCTTATTAAATGCTTTTAACATAAATACAGGTTATTGTTCTGATTCCTTATTTGTGTTGAAAGTGTTTATTGATTTGTTATGATTTGAGATCTTGTTATATCGTTGTTTAAACGTCATCTCTTTTTTTAAGTCTAACTTAGTTTGACTATCAAAGAATTCGACATTGTATTTTTTCAGCTGACAATTCAAAAAAGTTAAATTATTAAAAATTTGTGCTCAGCATTTTTTATCATCTCGTATTGCAGTTCATACTGATTAAAATCTTTAAAGTGCTTTGCACATGTAATCCTCATTATGTAAATGCAATGACTTGATGAGAAGTTTTTTTCGCTTTATGAAGAAAAAGAAAGAAACTTTTCCCTTTCAACAACGGTAAGTAATAAGTCCATGTCTGCAACTGTATAATGTGCATGTCGTTCATAATGGAGTTTCGAGAAATATTGAGTATGGAAGAAAGAGAGAGGAAAATAAGTGAAATAAAATGAGAGTTGACTTTCTGAGATTGTTGAGGAAATTCCGCATGAAAATTGCTGTCATATATTACAAATTGGAAAAAATTACATCTCAATTTTTACCTGAAAGACATAACAAGTATAATTGTGATTTTTATATTGAACAATGTTTGTAGCTGAAACTTTTTTTTAGTCGATTTAAAATGTTTTTCCTGAAATATCAAAAGCCTAAATTCAATTTCATCTGATTGTTTTTACAACCTTGTATAATTTGGTCTCATTTCATCTCCGCGCTAATAAGATTATGCTCATAAAATGCTATTTTCCCATTGCTTATGTTGAGGCTGCAAAATGGAAATAAAGTTCATTGAACTAGTTAAAGAAGCTGAAACTATTGCATTCATAATTAATATCTTTTACGTAAGATTCCTACGGCGCACATTCCAGTCATTCATCAAGTAATGAACTTTGAAAAATTCATGAGTGAATAAAAAGTGCTAAATTGTGCTAATTTCTGTTTTTTTTTTGTTTTTGCTTCGTTCAGCACACTAAAAATTGCACGAGCATATATTAACACATTCACATATATGTATTTATAGTTTACTCGTGGAGGCAGAAAAATTTTTTGTTCGAAAAAAGCCGAAGAGATTTCATATTTTCACGTTAATTAGAGCAATGCACGTCATATGAACTGGAGACATTATTGTGCGCGGATTGTTTTTTAAGTATCAGCCGTTCTCATTTGCAGTACCCGCGTTACATGTTGTTCCTATTTTTTTTTTCAGTATAATTGTTATGTTAATGTTCACGATTCAAAACTATGAATGAACGAATGAATGAAATTGAGTGCAACATAAACATAAAATACCATCACAGCACAAGCAAGTGCAAACATAGCACAATTATTAAAAAATAGAGAAAACTTTTGTATGTTTAATGCTCATTTTAGTTTAGTTTTTTGTTGTTATTACGTGACTTTATTTTTCTCGAATCTCAAATGAGCTATGTAGCAATCGCCGTGTCCTCGAACTCGCAACAACACAATTTCGCATTGTTTACTTCTATATACATACAATTAATCTCTTCCCGTTTCTAGCTTCTGTCGAATTACTTGTTTATGCTTTGGAGACATTTTAAAATTCAATAATTGTTTTGTTTACACCTTTTTCCTTTCCTTAAAAGTGTTTTTGACTTTTTAACAAGCAGGTCTATTAACAATAAATTTGTGTGTTTATTAAGTAGTCTCTTCTTAACAAGATACAAAAACACATAATATGCTCTCTATATAAGTTCATTTTTAAAGATATTTTATTTATTTTAGAATCTATAGATTATTATCACTTCTATAATTTTTAACTGTCAAAAATATAGTCAATCAATCTCAAAGAAAAAACCATTTTCATATAGGCACTTCTTTAGAATAGAAAAGTGTGCCAATGATATTTTTCTTTTTCGGTCAGATTTTTTATGTGTGTTTTTTCTAAAAAAAATTGATGCTACAAATAAGAATGAAAGACACGTAAATAGATGATGAAAAAACCACCGTTGAACGAGTGCGATGAACTGCCTCGTTAGTATGATGATCGCATAAAAGAAAAGTCGTTGGAACTCAAGGCCTAAGAGCAACGGTGCGTATGTGCTTAACGGATTGTCTATTTATTGCAGTAAATCTTTTTCAATTCTTTAGCGTGATCAGTTAAGTTTAAAGGTTTATTTTTTTCTTATGTTTTTCACGCCCGAGTAGCACAAGTCGGATAATCGAGATGAAATCCTACGCTATGACGACGTGGTTACGATCTAAGGGCGAATTTCTCGTCATGACGAAAAATTTGCCCTAAAGTCGCCGTGATATCTTCCTTGCGTAGGATTTCGTCTCGATTATCCGACTTGTGCTCTCCGGGACATTCTTTAAATTTTATAACTTGCGATTTTTTAAAATGGTTTGAAATCTCCAAATTCTGTAGAGTCGATATTTGAATGCTAATCAAAATGTAAACATTGCAAACCTCCAGCAAGTATTAAATGAAGAATTATTAAATAAGAAGGATATGTTTTCTACAAATATTTCGGTCATATTTTATAACGACTAAACACAGATATCGTGAAATTATCATTGAAAATATCGTACAGTTTTCCCTCGACACAAAAAAAGATTTTATTATACATAGCAATAAAAAAAACTTTCATTTCGGTTCAACGAATTTTCGCCTTGAGATTTCGCGCATAAATTTTTGTGTGATTTTTTTTCAGTTTTGCGATATGGCGAAATTTTTTATTATTTCAGGTGGGCTTTTTATTAGCCTTCTCTCATTAAAAATGCAATAATTTTTAGTGTGCTTTTTGTTTATGAAGAAGAGAGCGAAAAGGTGAAACCTCATCAGCATC